TGAGGCGGTATCTAAATTTCCGACACCCAGGAATCAACATGAATTGAGACAATTCCTTGGGCTATCGGGATATTTTAGGCGATTTATTATGAATTATGCTATATTAGCGGCCCCACTAACCGATTTATTAAAAAAGGACATTAAATGGGCATGGGACAAAGATCAGGATTCAGCATTTAACAAAATCAAAGCTTTCCTGGTTGATAGACCCATTCTTGCACTCTACAATCTTAGTGCAGAAACCCAATTGCATACTGACGCTAGCAAAGCCGGACTAGCTGGTATCTTATTACAGGCTAACTCAAACGGTGTGTTCCAGCCAGTGTCGTACTTTAGTCGAAAAACTAACGTAGATGAACAAAAACTTCACTCGTACGTTCTAGAGACATTGGCGGTAATTGCGTCACTCAATCGTTTTTGCGTATATCTCATCGGAATTCCCTTTAAAATACTCACCGACTGCAATGCATTACGCGCAACGTTAATCAAACGCGATTTGATCCCACGAATAGCCCGATGGTGGATACAGTTACAAGAATATGACTGCACCATTGAATACCGTTTGGGATTGCGCATGTCTCACGTCGACGCGCTGAGTCGCAATCCAGTCGATAGGAGCGAACCAGAGCCGCCGACGCGTTTTGTTGTCCTAACCATCGAAACTTGCGAGCAAGACTGGATTGCTACTGTACAGTCTGCTGACGAAGAGGTCAGGAAGATAAAAGAGACGTTATCGGATCCTGTTTCAGAGCAAGTGATGGATATTCACAAAAATTACAAATTAAAAAACAATAGGGTCCACAGAATAGTCGGGGATGAAATAAAATGGCTGGTACCGAAAGGCGTTCGCTGGCAGATTTTAAAAATGAATCACGACGACGTCGGTCATTGTGGTTATGATAAAACCTTACAGCGAATTCGTAAAAATTACTGGTTTGCCAAAATGCGCAAATTCGTGAAGAAATACGTTTCATCCTGCCTCGAATGCTTACACCACAAAACACCTGGTGGTAAGCGTGAAGGTGAATTGCACCCTATAGAAAGGCCAAGCGTACCGTTTCATACGGTTCATGCTGACCACTTGGGTCCATTTATAAGGAGTAAAAAAGGGCAATTGTTATTTACTCGTTTTGGTCGACGGCTTTACGAAATATGTTATCGTAAAGCCGGTTAGAGACACCAAATCGGCCACTACGATAAAAGTATTCAAAGACCATATCAGCTACTTTGGTGTGCCAACACGCCTTATCACCGACAGGGGCACCAGTTTCACTAGCGGAGTTTTTAGGGAGTTTGTAATGCTATACGGCATTAAGCACATTATGAATGCCGTGGCAACTCCCAGGGCCAATGGTCAAGTTGAAAGATTCAACAGGACCATATTAGACGCCCTTTCTACTTCAGCCCACGGTAAAGACGAAAAGTCTTGGGATGAACAAATTCTCGATATACAATTAGGTTTAAATACTACGACTCATAAAACGACGCAAAAGACCCCATCAGAGTTACTTTTCGGATTTAACATTAAGTGTAGGAGTGAAAGCATATTGAGTGAGGTTTTAGACGACACCGTGACCGTAACATCGGCGGAGAAATTAGTAAAAGTAAGGGACATAGCTGGGAAGAAAATAAGTGAGACTCAGATTAAAGATAGGGAAAGGTTTAACCGTCGTAGGAAACTAGCGAAGTCCTATTCAGTAGGAGACTTGGTACGTGTAGAGCGACAGGTTCCTAACGATGGACAATCACAAAAACTGGTTGTCAAATATCAGGGTCCGTACCGGGTAATAAAAGTGCTTCCCAACGATAGATATGTCATCGAAGACACTCCCTTATCGCGCAAAAATAATTGTCGTTACGAAGCCGTCGTAGCAATCGACAAAATGCAGCCCTGGTTAAATTTTAATAGAAACTTGGAAAGTAGTTGTGAAGAAAGTGGTTCAGATAATGAGTAAAAATAAATTTATAAATAAAAACTAAATAAAAGTTATGTTCTTGCTCGTTAAAGTGTTTATTTATATTAATCTAATATAAATAAATTACTATTAAATCTAATGTACTATGATTAAATAACATTATTTAGATTATATTGATATTAGTGTCTCGTGTAATTATAGGCCTCAATCATCACTTGTACTTGTTTCGTGTCTAGATCCGTATAGATGTTCATGTCAGAACATTATACATTAATAATGTTTTAGTATCAGTCTGTAGCGCTTACAAGCTACAGGTTCTGTTTGATTTGTGTTCTATTACCATGACAATAATTATTTCATTGCTAATTGTTGATCGAAGGTTTATCCCGATTAGTAACGTCATTTTTTTTTCGCGAAGGGACTCGCTTTCAGAGGAAGGCCGAGCTGTAAGCCTAATTAGTTTAATGTACGACTGATTAATATTATTCTATATATTCTAGAACTATTATACCTCTAAATCTAATATAAAGATTCTGTATTGATTGTAATAAGTAGAAACAGTTAGGCAGATGTTAAATTTTAAAGAGTTTTGATTTATAATGAAATATATTACATTGTTAATCTAAATGATAATAATTAAATGTATTATTAATTATCAACTAATTGTGGATGAATAATCGTTTGTTAATAACTATTATATATTAATTTAAGATAGTGTATTGATAATCGAAGTAAATGTCATATCGGACAGTCGTTGCGATAGGCAATAATCGCGTGGCCGTTGTACAAGAAACAGGTGAATTTTGTGATTAAAGTGCTGTGGAGATATTACTGGATTTTATTTTCTGGAACACTCCTGAGGCTATCCCAATACAACCGAATGCAGCCAAAGCTACTCCAGGCGGAACCGAATACCTTTCGATTCAAATTATTTATATTTGTGATTTCGATTTTTCCTTCGTAGTTTTACGGGCTTAGGACCATCCAATATGCTATAGTTGAGTAGAATTACATTTTAAATTTTATTTTGCATTATAATGAATTTATAAACAGTTTCTAATAATATTTTATGACTACCGTACACTGCAACATTTTAGGCGTATTTAAAAGATCGAAATCAACTTATTTACAAACTACACTGATTGATATTTACAAAATTATGCTACCATTAATGTACAAAAAATTACCTTTTTAACGATATTGCAATATATGTTCAAAATTTTTACCGCTTCTAAACACAAACTTGCAAGTCTTTGTAAATTGTTTGTTAAATTTTCACTTTTTACTTCTTCTGTGTACACTAATCATTTTAGTTCGGCCCACAAATAAAAGTCTAGAGATGTGTTAGGTCTGGTAATGAGCTGGACATCCGTCGTACTGAAACTACATTCCTTTCTCAGCTCAGGGGAACGTTTTCCAACACTGTGTCGATAACTAATGATGATTACTCCCGTCAACTGACCTTCAATCCATATTGGACCAATGATGTGATCGTTATTTTTTTTTGTTATTGCCACCTGTTGTGGGTATTTGTATTATTGTATACGTAGGTAGTTATGCAAAGAAATAAATCAGTTGTTGTCTCGCTAACGAACGTGTATTATTGCAAACACAACATGGTGTCAGGTGTGGGGTCATGAGCATAGTAAACTCTTAAAATCGAGGATAATTGCAACATATATACAAAGTATGATATTTATGAAAAATAGTAGGCTGCGAAATAATTCTATAACGTATGTCTTGCAATTAACAATGGAGCACGCGCGTCCACCAAACGAATTACAGTTAGAAGGCCGACCCGTCAACGGGGCTGTTGCTTGGAAGAGGTGGAGAGAAAAATTTCATATTATTTGTGAAAGTTTCGGGTGTGCACTCAGAGACATCGGCAGTAAAAGCAAGTTAACTTCTCAATTTAATTGGTTCAGAAGGGTTCGACATTTATCAAACCTTTACGTTCACAAAAGAAGAGGATTATGCTGATCTGCAAATAATATTGAGTAAATTTGATGAATATTTTGGAACTTAAATTAATATTATATTGCTTAGATACAAATTTTTTACTTGCAATCAAGAGGAAGGTAAAAACATACATCAGTATGTTACGTCTTTGCGGTTACTGAGTAAAAATTGTAAGTTTGCAACTTTAGAAGAAGAGCTGATAAAGGATCGAATTGTGTGTGGTGTAAATATCACAATAATCCGGGACCGTTTGCTCAGATGTGAGGACCTAGACCTGGACAAGGCTGTGAAGTTGTGACAAGCCGAAGAAAGTTCGTTTGTTTCAGTTATTTTTTATATAAGGGGGATGGATGATACTGTATCTTTATTAATAAGGGGAGATGTTGTGGGTATTTGTACTATTGTATACGTAGGTAGTTATGCAAAGAAATAAATCAGTTGTTGTCTCGCTTACGAACGTGTATTATTACAAACACAACACCACCCAAATGTTCACACTGAAACGAACGAACGCACCGTCTAGTTTTTTCACCAGACAAGATATAAAATCTCACCATTGCTAGGTAGCTAGGTATTCGACATTAGAGTATTGGTACATATTTACGATAACTATCAGTGGGCGCCCGATACACACGCGGACACATAAACAATTTGTACGACGTCACTCCGTAGCTATTCAGAGCTGACTGAAATGAGAGTGCGAGTGGCCTTGCCCTGCGAGCATGTGAAAGAACAGGAAAAAGAGACCTACGGCGAATGTGACGAATGGTTACAAATTCATTGTTTTATTGGCGCTAGTAAAGTATATCGATAGTTTTTATAGATTTTTTTATTTATTTCAAATTTTTATTTTTATCTTTTTATTATGGAAAGTTTACTTCAAATTGGTGGTATTTATTAATAGATCAATTTCATAATATGTTAAAGAATTTAAAAAAAATGTAAAATAGCTGTGCTTCTACTCCGTTTACCTGATACACTCTATTTTTTTTCCAGGCGGTAAAAAAGTCGTCCAGTTGTGATTTAATATTTTAATTATCTTAAACGACTCTTATATCTGTATGTTATCTAAAAACTATATAATTAGAATTGATTAATTTAATTGACTGACTTTTTGTGAACCAGATTCTACACAGAGCAGCGGAGAAAAGTATACGTCACTCCTACAAGCTATTTAGAACTCATTAAGGCTTTTCAGAGCTTGTATGCTCTGAAAGTAGACCAGATAACAAAATCAAGAATACGGTGAGATTATATTATATTAATAAAGTACAATAGTTTTTTTTATTTTTTTTGTCTGAGGATATCCTCGTAACTACCTGACTGCCCTAGAGGATTTTGTCGCACTTCTACGGGCTAAAACCTTGCGGTGGTCTCCCTCAGCGTCGTCAATAGGTCACGGGATCTCCCTTTGAAAGTCAACTGCAGCCCCTTCACTTATACTTACTTACGAATTTTTGTCAATTTTTCAAGCTTTCAAGGCCACGTTAAAGGAACTTCCACCTCATTCACGAGGCGATCGAGGTCTACACCCTGATTGCCTGCAACCCCAAATGGTTAGATTATGGTAGACTGCAAAATCTCTCTTTTTCTGTTCCCGCTCAACATCTTCTTTTAGACTTACTAAGAATCTATTACTTAAGAATCATTTAGTTTTTCATTATAGTAGATTCAAATATTGATCACAGCTACAAATTGCGCTGGATAGATCAACTGGAATCGAATACTGGACTACGAAATTGTCATGTTGTTGATGCTTATTAGGTACGAGACTGGGCTGGAGCAGCTGGAGTTCGCCGCAGGGCAAGTGGCCGTGATGCAGGGCAACCTCATAGACCTGCAGCCGCAGCTCGTCGAGACCTCCGACAAAACAGAGAAGCTAATGATCAAGATTGAACAGGACACCGTAGTGGTCGAGAAGCAGAAAGAAGTAACGTCTGATTGATTATATTTCTACTTATATCGTCTTTCCGTCTTCAATTCGCATGTTGTTAAATAGCCAAACCGACTAAGGTCAGCAACGTCAAAGGTCACATCTCACATCTGATATTACGAACGTGCCTGCTAATCGTGGTAATCAAGCCGAATCCACCCTACAACGTAATAGGTCAATTTCCAGTAGTGACTTTTACGAGCTGATAATGAAGAAAAAAGGAGTCAGATGAGTACTCAACAGTCAACGTAACAGTGAATGGATACTGTGATCAATAGACGATTAATAATGTATCATGGATTAAGAATTAAATTAGCAGATGCGTTGTCATCCCCGAGATGAGGACTAAGATGAAATGCCTCATTATAATGTAATTCAGACCGAATTACGGCCAAGGCGGTCAAACTTAACGGAGAATAGCCATGTCATCCAAGCGCAGGATTATAGTGCCCAAGTATATGCGCGAGCATAAGTGTACTCTCTATTATCTCACTGATAATCTTTATTGATAAATATATTACATACACAAAAATTGATAGCCATTTGCTCCTAAACTAGGATATTATACCTGTACACAAACACCTAACTATATTAGGTGTTCTGTGTACCTGTATTTCGGGGGCTAGTTTCTTTCCCCATTCTTAGTTCTTATTACTATATTTTTTATCGATATTTAATATATTATATTTACAAGTGTTATTTAAAACGTAAGATAAGGCAATTTATAAAAAGGGATATATTGGCCTTTTTCTCGATTTTGATGCGAAATAAGAATGTTCCTTCTTTTTTTCGTAGGTGGACTACCATGTGAAGTCCAACAAAAAACATAATTGTTTGTTTATGCAAATTTTCTTGAGATTCAAAACGGATTTCTCGTTTTGCTTGTGAGAGACTCTGATATATAAATAAGCAGGGACGTGTCGACGATTTGTGTGTTTTTACGGTTAAATTTATTGTTTTAATGTCCGTTATTATATTTCTTAAAAGCATCAATATGTTACGTTTAAAGAAAGAAAGAAAGAAAACGTTTATTTGGTACATACATTATAACAAAAGAATAAAAATAAAACATTTTTTATATCTTATCAAAAATATTTAAAAAAGGAATAACATAATATGCACCAAAATGGTCTCCACTCACTAAGTCACGAATTGAAGATATAAATACATCAATTCGTAACGCTGCTTTTCAGTGGAGCCACGAGTGTGAGGCAGATGGCAAGTAACAGCAAGAGAAAAAAAGAACTAAACAAAAATATAAAATAAAATTAAGAACAAACTGTCAAAATTTCACGTGACAGTGTAACATTGATAGTGTAGAGATGAACAAACGGTGGTATGCATAAAGAAAAAAATAAAATAAATTGTGTATGTGGATGTATGCATACGTGTTTGAGTGTGTGAGTGCGTTCGTATGTACATGTACGGTGCTAGCATCGAGATTGAATCATACCATTTATGCCGATTTGCTGCATTTTTGTACGGAAATTAGAAACTTTTTTTTAATAAAGTTTTAAAAGTGGCAACTGTTTTACTATTTCTAATCGGTATTCTATCGGTTGGTATATCATTCCAGCACTTCGTGGCAGCAAAACGGAAACTACCACGGAAGGCAGCTGTGTGATGCTTAGGGTATGTGAGTCGTGATGCTGTCCTAACCGCACGCTGCGAGAAAATAAGCTTTTGGTACAAGTATGATGGTTCCCTGGTATTTATAACTCCAAAAAGCAATGACGCAAGGTGGAGGGTACGTCGAGCAGCCATCTCATCAGGTCGTGTCGATTTAAAAATGGGATGATGTGATATCTCTTAGGGACTGTGAAGCAGAAACGTGCGCAGGCGTTTTGAACCCTTTGTATTAATTTTTTGGTTCTAGCGAGCAAGCATTCTCCAAATACTGTATCCGCATAAGTTAGCTTCGACAGAAAGAGTGATTCACACAACCTAATGCGCATGTCCACTGACAAATACTCTCTGATCTGGTACAAGACTTTGAGTCTATAGAAACAGTTACGCATGGTTTCTTGTACATGACCCTCAAAACGCAACCTTCTGTCCATAACGAGACCTAAGTTCCAAACTTCCAACACACGTTCTAAAGAAGTAGTCTTGATGTTAATTTGCGGATTGAAAGCTAAAATATTATTTGTCTGGTTATGCGTTCCCAGTAACATATACTTCGATTTAATGGGGTTCAATACCAGATTATTTTGATCACACCAATCTGCTATGCGGTCCAAATCTGAGTTGATTTTTTTATTGCTATATTGGTGTAACTGGGTTTAAAAGACTATTGAGGTAATATATGATCACTATAATTTTTATGGTGTTCACTATATCTGAACAATATAATATAAAAAGTATAGGCCCCAAAATGGATCCTTGAGGTACACCTCTTGGAACTGGCAACGTGGTAGATATCCATTCTGATCCATTGTCTTTATTTATTTTAACAAATTGTTTATTTATTTTAAAGTGTTGTCCTGAATTAATAACTATATCAGAGAGCGTTTCCTTTGTCTCAGACCATTTTTTTTTTTGGGAATAATTTAATAATTTCTTATTTCTAAACTTGCAGAAACAGTGGTTCTACTCAAGTTTTTCAACTCTTTTTTTCCAGTAATTGAATATATTGCATGTCGAGTTTTTTTAATGAAATCCTCGTATTTTTCTGATAAGAAATCTACTGACTGGAAACTCGTAAACATGTCATTATTTTTTGAATAAGTTTAATTCATCTGTATAATCAATCATTATTACATCGCTTTCTTTTACTACGTACTGAGACAGTTGATAACTGAAAATTGGGTTAAAAATAAGGTTCAGAATTATTACAGTCTTTTTACGAGCAGCCGACGGTCGCGGTGGCGATGAGCGTTGCATATTTAAGATTTATAAAATTATATTGTTTAGGTATCAGGATAACGGCGGCGCTTCACGTTAGCCAACATAGTGGCGAATGTTGTGGCCAATACCAATGGCCATCATTATTTGAATACTGATATATATACATATTATACATATTGGAATGATGTCCCACAAGTTGGCGCGAGATCGGTGTGGTGTCGATTGTTTACTAAAGTTCAGAGGATTGTGGCAGAGTTTGGATGCCGCGTCTCCCACGTTTGGTGCGCGTGTAGTTTGCTGCGAGCGCCCATAGTGATTGCATGTACCTGATTTAAATTTTATATTCACGCTTCATAACTAGTATCTACAAAATGACAATAACAATGACCAATGAAGAAACTTTTCGCTATATAGAGCTCTAGCAAGCCGAAAATTGTAATAAAAATAAATTAAAATAATAATTTCTTATACACATTCACGTAGTAGCGGTATGCTGTGAATAAATAAACCGCAGCAGCTGTTAGCGTTTCATTATCAATTTTAATAAATTCTGAAGCAAACTGAACGACCTTGAACCTGAACCTGAACGTTTGGACGCCATCACAAGCTCCTTGGCTAATATCTTTGCCACAACATTCGCCACTATGTTGGCTAACGTGAAGAACCGCCCTAATATAATTGTTAAAACTGTCGCAATCCCAACGTAATTATTACAAAGGTCTATTAATTTGGACGCCAATCCGTATCTGAGAACTGTGACACTCTCCGCGTAGTGTAACCAGACCTCTCGATGCATGCAAAGGTCACGTAAGTTTAAGTAAGCCCTGATTCCGGGCTGATACTGAGAATTCCTTGTCAGAAAAACCCAATCATAGATTTTCTGACCAACCCGCGATTCGAATCCGGGATTACGTGAGCAGCAGTCGCATTTACGACCACTAGACCAATGAGCTAGTCAAATATCTCATCGGTCTCCTCAATACATATCCTCTTTATTATAGCGTTTCTTAATACCAGTGAAACAGGGGTCCCCCTGTTCTCAACACTCACCATACGAAACACAGCGGCATTATGCTGCTATTTCGCGCATTAAGAGTTCTTTCCCAGTCGAGTAGATCATAACTAAAGGCGTTTTACGCATTTTAGATCGTGGGCGCGGACGAAGCGCTCGCGAATGAGGCGGCCGCTGCAGCTCAGGCGATAAAGGATGACTGCGAGTCCGATTTAGCTGAAGCCGTACCCGCACTGGCAGCTGCGCTGGCCGCTCTTGATACCCTCAAGCCCGCTGACATCACCCTCGTCAAGGCCATGAAGAACCCGCCCGCCGGCGTCAAGCTGGTCATGGAGGCCGTCTGTGTCATGAAGGGCGTGCGCGGCGACAGGAAGTTCGACGCCACTGGTCAGTTGTGGGACAAATCCGCTACAACTTTTAATAGGCAACAGCTATCAACTAAAATGCACGTAAATTTCACAGCATGTGAGCAACTCGAGTTTGATCTCCGCTGGTATCAATAAATATGTTAATTGCAATTTTAAGGGTTAATTTACCACGTGCTGTACTTCTAAGGAATCTTTCAAGGGCACGTAAAGACCGCCAACATGCATTGTAGCAGTGCAGCGGACATATTACTTCATAATCCATAACCCCCTTTATAAACTTTATAAAAATTGTTTTTACTTACGAATTACGCAAGTTATTTTTTAAGCGTAGTATGTAACTGCTTGCAGTCACATTATTTTTTATAGGAGAGGGGGCAAACGAGCACACTGCTCACCTGATGGTAAGGTAAGTGATTACCGTCACCCATGAACAACTGCAACACCAGTTGAATTTCAGATGCGTTGCCGGCCTTTTAAAAGGAGTAGGCTCTATTCTTGAAGGTCCCTAAGTCGTATCGGTCTGAAAAAATCTCTGGTGGAAGTCCATTCCACAAGGAAGTTGAGCGAGGACGAAAGTTTCTTTTAAAATCGCACAGTGGTGGACCGCCAGTTAGCCAGATGTTATAAATGGTATCGCGAGTTTTGTCGCGATGAGCGATGGTGAAATTGTGCGGTTGGGATTAGTCCGAACAATTCCTCGGAGCACTCCCCGTGGTAAATGTGATAAAATAGGTTCTACGCAAAGAGTTGCAACATATCTTCGCAGTGCGACATCTCTTACATTAGAGGGTAGATTAGGATGCAGTTTCGAAGACACGACCATTACCACAAACACAAACAACCCCGAAAACTGTTCTGCTCTCTACTCTGCTGTGAAAACTGAAAAATGCTCAAGTTGAAATTGAACCCAAGACCTGCGACGCAATAGTCAGTTTCTATGCCTACCCTGCCACTCGGTCGTACATAATATTGATTCACGAAATATTTGTGTATAATATTGTATATAATAATTTTGCGACCTTATACGCAGACAGCTTACGTCATTATATAAATGGAAGACTGGACTCAACATATATCTATATAAGAGAAAAAACTTATATAGATATATGTTGAGAAGAAAAAAAACTGTATATATGGATGTTCTTTCATGTTATCCGTGCGTCGAAATATTATGATAAGTGCCTTAATATTATTCTATCTTTATAGCATACTAAAAGCCTAAAAAATATAAAATGTTTTGAGCTCAACATCGTGAGTTGTTAAGCCTGGTTAAATAAATACGTATTGAAAATGCTTATAAACTTACGTTTTTTTTAATATATGAGAAAATATAAGTTTTGAAGGAAATCTTACCAATATCGGCACAACGCCCCCATGTTTCTTACTGCACCTGGTGGCCCAACTTACCAACAGCGTCCATGTACATGCGAAACGCTGCTGCAGTACCTGGTGTAAGAGAATACATTTATATACAGCCACAAGTAGAAGTTGCTGTTTAAAATTTAAAAATATCTTCACTTTAACGGTGACGACGTCATCATCCACGTGTGTATTGTTGTGCTTATATTCTCAGCCTAATGGTTAAAAGACGATGAATTAATTTCGATATTAATTATATACATACTTATACACAGGTAAAGCTTATGAAGACTTTTGGGGACCATCCCAGAAGATGCTTGGCGACATGAAATTCCTCGACAGCTTGAGGAACTACGACAAGGATAATATTCCTCCTGCAATTATGAAAAAAATACGAGAGAAGTCAGTCTTAGTTATATTATGTTTCAATATATTTCACGATACCTTTTTTCTTACAAGAATATGATACAAATAGGTCACAGTCATGACGGCAATGTGCGAGAGGCCTATATTTAGCAGTGGATTTGTTAGCCTATAATGATGATAAATGATGATGATGATGATGATAGTACCTCTGACCTTGCTGATTTCGACCACGGTGACTTGTATCGAGTAACCCGATTACGTCAAAATCTCAGGAGATATCATAGTGTCCCAATTATACGTACTTACATTTAGGAAATCGCTCGTCCTAACCTAAGTAGAACTAAGGTGGTAGGACTGCTCTTTCTTATAAGAGTCCGTCTGGGTAGCTACCACCTTCTTACCTGTTTCTGCCACCGTGTGCACTACTGTGTTCCGGTATGAAGGTAAGCAATTTATTTTTAAATTACAAAACATGCCTTGTGCGCAAAGGACGTAGGTATATTTTACTAGCGCCTAAAAATCAAGAATCCAACGTTCTATCGCACGAATTTATATCTAACTATCATATTGAACTTATAAAAGATATAAAAAGCACATTTTCGGAAAGATAAGTGATTGTTCAACTTTTTTTTAAATCTATTAATTGCTATTTTTACATTACAAAAGCGGTTTTAGTGGCTTATGTTGTAGATTTATCAAGTCGGTTGTTCAACTCAGTCTATTTTTTAATGTCTTCATCTATCGTGTAATGGAATGTAAATCGCTGTTTAATTTTGTTTTGTTTAGTTATAATATTTTTTTTTTCATCTGAGAAATTCCGAAATTTTCGGTGTTTGAGCAGCCTTTTAATAGTATATTTTACTAAATAAAGATACACTTTCACTCACTCCGGGCTCGGCCGCCGTCGTGATTAGGTTACTGTATCGTTGAAAAATATCAATCGCTGTAGAAATACAATATATTCCAAAAACCAAATTTGATACATACTGTAATGAGGGTACATTAAATACATAAGTGATTAATTGTAAAAGGCTCGTCGAACAGTCACGAATAAACCGTCAATCCGCTTACCCGTGTCTTATTTACGAAATACACTACAGTGGCGACGAGGATTAAGTTGTTTTTATTTTTCGGTAAATTAGGTGGACGCATATATTAAATATAATGTCAATCGGCAAAGTGAGTGAATTCAACGTCAAAACAGGAAACTGGACTTTATACGTGGAGAGACTAGAAATGTACTTTACGGTAAATGCAGTGAAAAACGAAATGTGGTTGCCGACATTAATCGCCGGTATGGGAGACGAAGCGTACGAATTATTAAGTAATTTAACAAGTCCGATTAAACCGGGAGATAAATCGTATCAAGAAGTGGTAAAAATACTTCGGGAACATCTTCAACCGAAACCCTCGTTCATGGCGGAGCGATATCGTTTTCGACAAAGAAGACAGTTGAACGGAGAAACGATTCCGCAGTATATAACCGAACTTAAGAAATTGTCGAAATACTGCGAGTTTCATTCAACTCTAGAGGACAATTTAAGGGATCAATTGGTGTGTGGGCTAAGAAGTGATGTCATCCGTCAACGATTATTCGCAGAAGATAATCTGAAATATTCCTTAGCCGTGAAAATAGCTTGCGCTTTAGAGGCGGCGGAGCGGGATTCGGCCGCGGTGGAGCAGGCGGGCGGCGGCGACGGGCTCGGCGGTAGCGGCGCGGACAGCGCCTTGCATGCGGTGACGTCATCGACAAGCCGCGCTCGAACGCGGGAGCAGGACAGCGCACCGAGGGCTTTTAAAGGTCGAGAACATGGCGGCGGCAATGCGCTATATTGCAGAGCGTGCGGGTCGAGGTACCACCGAAGTGATGATTGCCGCTATAAGAAATTCGTGTGTGGTAAATGCAAACAGAGCGGTCATCTACGCCGGGTATGTCCCAAACGAGGGGAGTACACGGGAAATGCGGGCTCCCGACGCCACATGTACCATGTGGAGGCGGCAGAGTGCGAGACACCGTCAGCGGACGACGAGCCACCATCCGTGGAAAGTCAAACGGAGTTACAGGAGGATCTACACCATCTATGTTTAAATAGCTATAAACCGGTGAGCCTAACATTATTATTAGACGGATTTAAACTTAATATGGAAATTGATACCGGGTCGGCAGTGTCTTGTATAAGTAAAGCGACTTATAATAAATATTTTTACACTAGACCTATGGACAAGTTCGATCTGGTTCTAAAATTTTATGATGGAAGTCGAATCAAACCTTTAGGCATCATCAAGCCCGAAGTTAGATATGGAAATATAACAAAGCACTTAGAACTGTTTGTAATAGATGGGGGCACGACTTCATTGTTGGGTAGACAGTGGCTGTCGGAACTGCAAATTAAAATTCCGACATTCCACAGCATGGTGCTGGATGACCATTTTAATAACAATAATTTGTCATTATTATTCGACAGATATAACAAGTTGTTTTCCGGCGGCTTGGGGCGGTTCGCGGGCGGCAAGGCGACGCTGCGAGTCCGGGAAGGGGCGACACCGGTGTTCTGCCGCGCACGACCTTTGCCCTACGCGCTCAAGGACCGCGTGGATGCTGAGCTGGATGCGATGCTTCGGGAGGGGGGTTATTGAACCCGTGGAGAGCTCTGACTGGGCTACACCTCTGGTGCCGGTACGTAAGGCGGATGGTGGGCTCCGAATTTGTGCTGACTATAAAGTGACGCTCAACCCGGTATTGCTGGTCGATAGATTTCCCTTGCCTAGGATTAATGATTTGTTAGTAGGTATGAATGGCGCTAGAATATTCTCTAAAATCGATCTGTCACAAGCCTACAATCAGATCGAACTAGATAACTCTAAAAACCTTACCGTTATAAATACACATAGGGGCTTATTTACGTATAACAGGCTAGTATATGGGTTGTCATCAAGTCCAGGAATTTTCCAGCGTATAATGTCAAATCTTTTTCACGATATCGAAAAGGTAGAAGTATTTTTAGACGATATAATAATAGGTTCTTCTAATGAAAGAGAGCATTTACAAATATTGGAGAAGGTGCTTAGTAGATTACATAAAAACGGAATGAAGCTGAGGAAAGACAAATGTTTATTCATGGTGGACGAGGTCAAGTATTTAGGGTATATTATTTCAAAAGATGGCATTAAAGTTGATCCTGACAAGGTAGCTGCTATAGTAAAAATTCCGCGCCCCAAGGACGTTTCGGACTTAAGATCATTTTTAGGATTAGTCAATTTTTACGCTAAGTTCATTAAAAATTTAAGTACTACCTTAGCCCCACTTTACCGCTTATTAAAAAAGGGTGTTACTTGGGACTGGGACAGAAGTTGCGAGGATTCTTTTAAAAAAATTAAAAAAATCTTAACCAGTGCTGAAGTATTATTGCATTACGATCAAAACAAACCGTTAATACTGACGTGTGACGCTAGCGCTCGAGGTATAGGAGGCGTGCTCACTCAGCCGTGCGCCGGCGCAGCGGGAAGCGAGCGGCCGGTGGTCTATGTGTCGAGAGCTCTCAGCGACGCGGAGAAACATTATTCACAAATTGATCGCGAGGCTTTAGCAATTGTTTTTTGCTTAAAAAAATTGCATCAATACCTGTATGGTCGACGGTTCACCTTACGTACTGATCACAAGCCGCTTGTCAGTATTTTTGGCCCAAAACATGGCATTCCTTTAATGGCTGCGAGCCGATTGCAGCGTTGGGCGATTACGGTATCCGCTTACTCTTATAACATAGAGTACGTTAGTAGTAAACAGAACTGTGCGGACGGCTTATCTCGTCTACCGGTATCGGTTCAATCCACAAAGAACGAATGTTTAGAATTACCTGAACAAACGTATTTACATTTCGCTCAAAGTGAAATGTTACTGGATTATAATGAAATTAAAAAACAAACCCAGCGCGATCCGATTTTAGGTAGAATTATACTATACTTAAGAGAAGATTGGCCCACCGATAATGAGGTCAAATCATTGCAACCGTATTTTAACCGAAAAAAGGAACTATACGAAGAACTAGGGTGCATCATGTGGGGTCATAGAGTAGTCATACCGGAGAATTGCAGGGGTAGGGTGTTAAACGAACTCCACGAATGCCACATGGGAATCGTCAAAACGAAGGCGGTAGCTCGAAGCTATGTGTGGTGGCCGGGGATCGATGAGGCAATCGAAACGATGTGCCGAGCGTGCGTCGTGTGTGCGGCCGAGGCGGACGCGCCCCAACGGCACACTCCAAGCCCGTGGCCATGGCCAGCTAAGCCTTGGTCTCGTATACATATAGATTTTTTAGGGCCAATTTTCAATAAAATTTACTTGGTAATAATTGATGCCAGAACTAAATGGCTAGAGGTGTTTTATGTACCCAGTACAGCAGCTAGCCACACTATAGTTAAACTTTCCGAAGTTTTTGCTAGGTGGGGTCTACCTAAACAATTAGTATCAGACAATGGGCCGCCATTTACCAGTAGGGAATTTTCTCAGTTTTTAACAAATAATGGTATACAACATGTTTTCACCGCACCGTACCACCCGGCTTCAAACGGTGCCGCGGAAAACGCAGTACGCACTGTCAAGAAAGTTATTAAAAAGGCAGTGAGGGAAAATAAAGATATAAATTTATTTTTAAACACTTTCCTATTGCATTATCGAAATACCGAACATTGTACTACGGGCGAAAGTCCCGCTTCTCTCATGTTAGGAAGAAGATTACGTACTAAACTAGACATACTTAGACCGGATATTGAGAATAAAATTATTAAAACTCAAATAAACCAGAAAGAGAACGCTCCCACTGGTGAACGTGGCCTGCAGCCGGGTGATGATGTATGGCTTCGCCAATATCAGGGGAGCGACAAGTGGGTAGCCGGACAAGTGACGCAACGTTTGGGCGTAACGGACTACAAAGTTTTAGACACCATAGGTAAGGAGTCACATAAGCATATCGACCAGCTAAAACGTAGAATTAGTAGTTCACTGATTTATCCCCGTAGTAGTAATAGTCAGCCAAATTCGAGTTCCGAGTCTTTGTCTTGCTCCGGTGCAGAGGAAATTAATGCGCCTAGAATAAACCCTGCCATAACAGACACCGGGAGGAAATCACAAGCACCGGAGGGAACTGAAATAATAGATAAGAGTGATTGCTTAGATACGGCAAGGGAAACGTCAACACTTCGTGCTCCATCACCTCATACGTCGCCTGTGCCGTCCGCAACGCCGCCCCAGGTCTTCCGGCCGGTACGCAAGTGCCGTTTGGATAACCCCCCCCGCTATAAAGAGTAGTTACCATCACACTATATTATTTTTATATACTTCTTTTTTTTTTAAATATTTTTTTCCTTTCCTGTATAACAGTATAGTATAAAATACTTATATGTATAACTAATTGTAAGTCTTAATTAAGGGGGGAGGATTGTAATGAGGGTACATTAAATACATAAGTGATTAATTGTAAAAGGCTCGTCGAACAGTCACGAATAAACCGTCAATCCGCTTACCCGTGTTTTATTTACGAAATACACTACACATACTTGACCAAAGTAAGGTTTTATTATTATTTTTATAATCAACGATATTCATTATGATATATTGTTTCACTAAAAGTACGAAGGATTTATATATAAATATACTTATACCGTCTTGGACTTAATGGAGTGACCTGAAGATGTACTTTGGTAAATGCTAAATTAAAATACTGGTTATGACTAGATGAAAAACTTTTTGAAAACGAAATAAAGTAAATGAGAAAAAATGTATTAACGAGTCAAGTAAAAAAGACTAGTTTTTTACGATAATGCCAGAGTACAAATACCTAAAAATTCAAATAATATTAAAGTTGATTTCTGATCGTTTTAAGATAATTCTGTTAAGTTTTTTTCAACTACAGTAGTAAAAAATTTGTTGAATCTCATAGTAAAATTAAAAAAAAATATTTTATATTGTTGATTGAGAATTTTTTTCTACATTTTTTCATGATCATATGAGCATTATGAGTCGTGCAGATTTGGATTTTCCAAACTTTTTTTGTTGATGTTTGACATAAAATTATCGGTAAATTAGAAGTTATCCTATAACTGACACGCGTATCAGCAAAGCGGAGCCTTTAACAATACTCTTGCTGCCCGGCCAATGCAGATGTAATAAAACCACATAAAATTTGCAAATATTTATTTTATTTAATTTCTTTATGATCAACTTTTGTGAAGTAAAGCTATTTTTATACGCTTGAATACTGATTCTGATAACATACTTAACTGGGATAACATTGTTTTGTTACATGTTGTATAAAATATATATTTGATATACTTTTATAGTGGTATTACAATTAAATTAATCTCTAATAGACGTTCTTTAGATCGAAATTTTAAACACATTTTTAGAAGTATACAATTCTCTAAATTACATGTGGTATGTTAAGCAAATGATATAACAATGAAAAAGCACAATGTAATAATATATTCCTAGAAGTAACGATGTCTGATCGAATTTTGGGGATATTAAATTTTACTTTTATTTCATGACTCAGATTTTTTTATCAGTATATATAGCAACAGAAAAGTTATGATAAACCTCACAATGGTCTCCAACAGCGTATAACGTACGAGGTGTAACCTAACCCAAACTAACCTAGTGTGAATTGAGTGCTTACATACTACTAACATCTTTTATCACGTATCCTGAATTTAAGCTCAGCTGAAGCCATTTGTGATCATAATCTCGAACCATAATTTAGGGTCTTGCTATAATTCAGAAGTCTTCAAAATATTAACAGATGCCGAAACCTGCGACTGTTTTAGATACATCCCGGATCGAGATTTCGATCCGGTCGTGATAGCCAAGGTGTCTTCTGCTTGCGAGGGTTTGTGTCGCTGGGTCCGCGCTATGGACGTTTACGATAGGGTTATCAAGGTAAATTTGCAAAAATTTGATATATTATAAGTTAAACACGAAGGTCGAGTTAGCAACTTGAAATTTTGCGCCGAAAAAGCTCTGTAATCGCCTATCAGGAGTGCACTGTAGAAAATAGGCCTCCTCCATATATTGCCTCATAGTGAAGTTATTAGCCATAGTCCCACACTTGGGTGGTGAGTTGGCGACCGTAGTTTTTCATTATTTGGAATTGCTATCAGGAAGATGCTGCTGCCCATCACCTGTTTCATTGTTAGGGTCAAGTTTTACGTGGTAGAGCCATGCTGCAGTTATATTAGTAGTATAGTTGTAGCACTAATGGGTCGGCTCAACCGGGAAAGGACCACGCTCTCACAGAATACCAGCGTGAAATAGTAGCTTAATGCTGCTGTTTCGTACGGTGAGTGTAGAGAACCGGAGACCCTTTTTACTGGAAACAAGGCATTCCACCTAAGTCCTCAAGGGTGATAACGTATATGCATTTTGTTTCGTAATCGGGGACAGATGTAGATGTCTATGGGCCACAGCAACCACTTACCATCAGGTGGACTGTGTGCTCGTTTGTCACCCTATCCTATAAAAAAAAGTTAAACTTACCTTACGTCGCCATCATACGACACAAAATCATAGAATAAAAAAAAGAGTCCATCCATTACAGCCTATAAAAGTCCGCTGCTGAATATAGGCCTCCCCCATGAACTGCCTCGTAGAGATAATCTTTCCATAGTTACCACAGTTGGCAGGCAAGTTGATGACTGCAGTTCTTTATTGTGTTGAGTTGCTATCAGAAAGATGCTGCTCGTGCTTTGTTTGCCCGTGCCGCCTCTTGCGACGCCCACGAGACGATACAGAGTATGGATAGTATTACACCGCCACTACACGATTTATATATGGATATAGCTTTACTAAATTTGTTATTTTTCCGCAGGTGGTAGCACCAAAGAAAGCCGCTTTAGCGGAGGCTGAGGCAGAACTTCAAGTGCAAATGAACACCCTGAACGAGAAGAGAGCTCAGCTTCAGGCTGTGTTGGACAAACTGCAGGTAAAACTACTTTAAACTAAACGAAATCACATGTCAATAAACGATGATTACCTGAACGTTTTTTTTTTTTGTTTTAAGTATGTTGAACTTGGCTATCGGAATATAATGGTTTCTTATTATATTTAGGCAAATACTGAATGAACTGAACATATATGTTATGAACATGTTGACATACTGCAGACTTCCCGGAGCTTCGGTGCTTCACATCGGTCATATGTTCCTTCACAGGCTTTTCAGCATTGCATCTATTGATTTTATCGCACGGGATTTCAGTCTAGTTGTAACAAGCCTAGATACGTGTTATTGAATTTAGGGAGTGGTGTGCTCTTATTATGTCGACAGCAGCCGAGCTGGAGAGTGGGTTGCGGGGTTGAACAGATATAATCTATCGGGTTTGTGTTATGGCACGCGTTGCCTGAAGATTAAAAGGGGAAGGAATATTCCTAATCAGAGGTAGGACCACCAAGAGGTGTGTGAAGACGCGTGTTCCCGTGACTCTGTTAACCAGTTACTTTAGCATAAAAAAGGGGTCAAGGGGTTTTAAATTGTGGAATATAGATATCACCCGTGCCGGTGTTAGCATTGAAGCCGGTGTTAGCATTGAAGCCGGGGTTAGCATTGAAGCCGGGGCAAGTCTTTTATAAAAATTGTAGAGCAATAAAAATACTAATTACTTCGCAATCTTCCGCTAACTAAATACTTTGTCTTAACTGGATTGAAGAGCACCTCCCGCCCTCTCTCAATTGCATGCACTAACTCCGTCACCACTACTCCAGATAAGACACACCATCGACGATAATACACCACGTGTTTCGCCTCTACACGAGGTATCCTCAGGTGATGTAGACTCTACGGCGGCTTACCGCTAAGTGAGCGGCGGGTTTTTTTTTTGCGCCCGAAGCAATTAAAGGGCTACCCTATACGTAGGGAGACGGAAAATGCATTACGCATACCACGATAGCCGGTCTATCGTGGTTATGAGGGGCTCACTGTCCTACCGGGGACCCTAAGTGATACTCTCTAAAAACCGCCTTTGGGGACAGGCAGCCGGCTGATTAAGCTGTATTGTGCCTTATCATGAGCGACCCTCTTTTAGGAAAAGAGGACGCAGGCGGCTAAGTGCCGCTGAGGGAGTGCCTACGAAGGCAAATTAATGTTAGTTATTACAATAATTTAATTTAATTAGAGTTGACCTGAGCCGCCAGGAGACAGTTCAGGTCGTTTGACAGTTTATTAGGCGGGTCCGAGAGAGAGTTTCTCGGCCTGCGGACACGATAGCGAGAGGTGGTGGGGCTGCATAAGAAGCTGCCTCACGAATTAAATGGTTTGGGTGCGACTCTGAGGCTTTGAAGAAGTTCTCAGAGAGTTTTTTAAAAAATTGTTGAATTGTTGGGAGCTCTAAGTCCCGATGAAGGTCGGCATTACGGACGTACCACGGTGCGTTCGCAGCTCGATGACAGAAGAGGTTCTGAACTATTTGGAGTTCATTTAAAATACTAGGGTTTGCGTGGGCAAAGACGGGGCCCGCGTAGGACATGACTGGTCGTATATAGACCTTGTAAAGGGTACGCTTGTTGAGCGGCGGGCCGAAACAGTTGCTATTTATACACGCCGATACAACAACTCCTCACCAAAGTAGTGAGTGGCCGCGCCATGCGATAACAAACGTGCGACTAATTATCATTATTGTTATGATTAATATTTTTAAATATTATATTTATTGTTGTTTTATTGATATTATTGTAGTTATTTATTATTATTAATTTTAAAATTATAATTAAAGATTAGCCTTAAAATGTTTAAAGATGTTTAAATGGCCACAACATCTACGTACTATCATGTCAACTGTGTATTACTCTCACAAATAATTTGTGTGGAAGTGACAAATAATTACCATATCTCTTTCTTTCACTTTCATTAATTTAAACTAATATCTTACGCAAAGGCTCTAAATGATGAGTTCGCGGAAATGACGCGGAAAAAGAAAGGTCTAGAAGATGAGATCGACTTGTGCTCAACGAAGTTGGCACGTGCCGAGCAGCTGATTGGCGGCCTGGGCGGGGAGAAGGCGCGCTGGACGCAGCTAGCCCAGCAGCTGCAGGAGTTACTCTCTAACATTATCGGTGAGTGGTATTATAAGTCTTTTTTATAGAATAAGGGTGACAAACGAGCACACAGTCTACCTGATGGTAAGTGGATGCTGTGGCCCGTAGACATCTACATTTGTCATCTGTTTAAAATGCAGATGCGTTGCTAGCCCTGAGGAATGAGATGGAATGCCTAGTTTCCAGTAAAAAGGGTCACCAGTTCTCTACACTCACCATACGAAACACAGTATTATAAGCTGCTATTTTATGTAGTATATTATATTGTGTAAATAGTAGCTTAATGCTGCTGTGTTTTCGTATGGTGAGTGTAGAGAACCGGAGACCCTTTTTACTGGAAACGAGGCATTTCATCTCAGTCCTCACGGGGGACAACGCATCTGCATTTTGATTTGTAATGGAGGATAGATGTAGATGTCTATGGGCCGCAGCAACCATTTACCATCAGGTGGACTGTGTGCTCGTTTGTCACCTGTATTCTATAAAAATAGAAAAAAAATTATCTGCAGAGTTGAGTTAATAATAATTAAACAGACAATCAAACAGACAATATCGGTATAGACGCCATAGAGGCCATACGTCAAAATATTTCGTCTTTGTTACGTCGTAGTTCAGTGCCGAAATCAAACCTTCCTAAAGACGAATTTACAGCGCTGAATAACTTACGAAACAGACCAGAGCTCACGATTCTCCGCGCGGATAAAGGAAATGCTACGGTAATAATTGACATGTCAGAGTATAATTTTAAAATAGAACAACTTTTATCGGACGTACTACATACAAAAAGGTCAAAATAGACCCTACAACTAATTACGCTTAAAACAACTAGCGATTTAATAAAGAAATACTCCGAAATATTCAATAAAGAATTTAAATCTCGACGTGAATTCGATAACACCATTATGTGCCAAACCACCGAGGTTGTATGGGTTATCGAAAACACACAAACCAAACGCTTCCACTACATGCCATAGTGAGCCAGATGGATTCCCCGACTTATAAGTTGGCTTAACGCTTAGTATAAATACTGTCACCGCTGAGAGGATATACCGGAGCACACACAAAGGATTCATACCATTTTATTAGTGATAAAAAGACCTACACCTCACTTACAATGAAACTATGGTTAGTTTTTATGTACAGTCGCTATTTACATGCCTACCTATTGATGACTGCATCTTAATTGTAACCAGGAAGCTAGAAGAAAACAACATGCCTGAAGAATATGCAATATTACTTGAACACTGTCTCACATCTGACTATCTATTGTGGAAGGAGGAGTTCTACCTATAAGCAATTAGATGGTGTGCCGCTGAGCTCTTAATTAACAAAATTAAATCCAAATCCAAGCATACCACTGTAAGAATTCAAGATACTGTAAGAGAAATTGATATGGGAATGCCAGGAAAATTTCATAGAATCCCTGGATGAGTGACACTGCGATGATCTTTAATCATTTTCTTTATAAAACAAGGCACAGATATTCCAAACCTTTTTTCTTTTAAGTCATTTTTATATGAATTAATAATGCCTCCCCTCCCCTTTCCTTATATACGGGTAGATTTTTGATCATATTTTATTTTTCAAATTAAACTCAGGTGACGTCCTTCTGTCGGCTGGTTTCATTGCGTACTTGGGTCCCTACACGGTGAGCTATAGACGAGAAGTTATACAGATCTGGAACCAAAGGACAAAGGATCTCAGTAAGTTTTTATAAGATTTATAGTTATACTAAATATATACAAAAAATTTTAAAGTAGTTTTTATGACAATTATTAAGACCGAAATTTTAGTTAAGTTAATATATAAGTATGTATATATCCATATTATACTTGGAAGTAATTAACCAACAAAATGTGATAAAGTAAGTAATCAAGGTTTCAGGGGTTGAAGACATTTTTATTTAGAGGTTTTGGAAGAGACAATCACCCCACAGTTGGCTGTGGGGTGATTGTCTCCTCAAAACGTGCTCAAAGTTAACTTATCGAAGTAACACTTCACATTATCGATTATTTTTATGAAGCAATATGATATATAATATATGCAATATTTTTTATAAAATTATTTAGCTTGTGTAATGATTTTCAGATATGTCTTGGCGGCGAAGGATAATCCACTACCTGCATCAACCCATGGAGTGGAGGATGTCGTAAGAGACGACTGGGACAAAGCTGAAACATAGGATAGACAGAAGCATCTTTTTAATAATAGCTCAATATAATAAAAAACTGTTGTTGCTAACCTGCCTGCCAAGCGTGACAAATATGGCAAATATTTCCATGCCTTGCAAATTATGCCCTCAGTTCATTAAAAACCAGTTATTATTTATATTTCAAACAGGCACTTAAATTTTATTTATATGTATAGACAATAGACGTAGATTTATTAGAATAAGATGTATAAATTTGTATAAATGTTGTTCTCATCTATTCTAGATATACCATGTTCGGACGCTTTCTCGTTGATAACGACTCTGGGTGAGCCGGTGGTGATCAGAGCATGGAACATTGCGGGCTTGCCTGTCGACTCCTTTTCCATAGAGAACGGCATAATTGTAGAGAAATCTCGACGCTGGGCGCTCATGATTGACCCTCAGGGTGAGGTTTATGAATGTGTAAAAATAAATATTTTGGGTATTAGAACGTAAGAATGTGTAGTGGTGGTGTAAGAAAACCCATTACTCAATTTGAGGAATCCCAAAAAGATCCCTTGGCTTCCGAAATATGGCGGTAAAACCATTGCCAAGTGTGGCGATTATGATTAATTCGAAGTCGCCCGAAGAGAGAGAGAGCTATGACTAGATGTGGACTATTACAAACTAATAATGAAGAAGAATATAATAATGCAGCGTCAGAGGCATGGGAACAATCATAATACGATCAGGTTCGAAAAAAGATAATTTGTGTTTTTGCAAAATGTAGGCTCGAACTGGGATTTGAATACAAGCGGGAGGAAGTGTTGGGTTTTGTGAAAGAAATAAGTTTAAGTTTAAAGAAATTTATTTTCAAATAAGGCAAACAATGCCACTTACATGAAAATAACAATTACATTTTAGTATACTTATTCTAATGTTCGCCGAACACTCGGTCAATAGCTTCATAGCTTCAATGTAATGGTAAAAAATGTTCAATTATGTATTAAGACAGCTGAGACTTAAAACTACTAAATGAGGTCACATTTTTATATTACAAGGTTTTTTTTTGCATAGTTTGTTCGTACCTTTGGTAGCACAAGTAAGATAGGTCGACGAAGACTGCGTTTACAAATTTGTGATTTTTTTACAAAAGACAATTTTTTACTAAAGACAAGACAAGAAATTCGAACCACATCCTAACTTAAAACTTTCCTCATTCATCGAAAAACACCTGTACGGAAGTATGTAATGCTAGGAGAGTGCGATTTGTCATATATGGGTTTATCACCAATATCACCACCGAATGAAATTGTAGTCAAACACTCGCTTATATTATAAAATATATATAACGCAGAGCAAGCGAATAAATGGGTGAAGAACATGGAACGGGAAAACCAGCTGAAAGTGATAAAACTGACGGACGCAAACTACACGCGAGTGCTGGAAAACGCGATCCAACTAGGCCTGCCCGTGCTGCTAGAGAACGTGCGAGAGCACCTGGACGCGGTGATCGAGCCCGTGCTGCTGAGAAACATATTCAGGTAACCTCTAGCTAATGCCGCTCTTCATATTCTGTGAAAACGAGCGGTCTTGCTTCTTCGTCTCACGCCTAACGGTGATGTACCAACTACTGGCCCCCATTACAATCCACACCTCGTTGAGTTCGGGAAGCAACGCGGTGGGTGTGACCCATGATAAGACGTTTAACTCAGAAACAGAAACCGCTCTTTCTCAAAAGAAAGTGATTGGCGACTGCGATTACGGGTCCAGTAGTCGGTCCCGGTCTAGGGACAGACACGAAACTTAGTAGACTGTATATCTTCTACAATTCCCTACTTATAAGGGCGACACTGTTAAAATAAAACGGCAATTACTCATAACTGCTACTAGGGAATGTGATTACTGCTTTCACTTGACTTTTAAATTACTTTTCCCTAATCCGTTTTTCTTTCTTGATTATAACTTAGAACTGTAGATTTTCCCTAACAAATTGTAAATTAATATGTTTTCTTAAGTACTACCAAGTTAAACCTTAAAGTGAGCCAGGCGCAAAAAGCCAGTATAAAGGGTCTCCGGTTCTCTACGCTCACAATACGAAACACAACAGCATTAAGCTACTATTTTACGCTGGTATTCTGTGAGAGCGTGGTCCTTCCCCGGTCGAGCCGACACATTCGTGCAACAACTATACCACTAATGTAACTGCAGCTCCGTACCTTAATCTTATCTCTACCACGTATCTTAATATTTAGCTCATTGCCTAGTTCAGGTTCCTTGTGTCGTTTCTAACGACACCCACGGGATGATATGGGATGCCGAAAGTTCTTACACCGCCACTACTTGATTATATTCAATACCTCGTTACCAATAAAAAAACTTAGACTTTCTACACTCACCATACGAAACACGATTTCTTCTTCTTCATCTCTTGTAGGGAAGATTCGCTTTAAACGTTACGCTTGATAGGCAGACTAAAAATCGCAGTGCGATACGTTTCGCCCCTTTAACGCTGATATCCTTCGCCGGTCCGTGTATTATACGTCTAACGTAAGCAAGTTGGTTATACCGCCATCTATCGGCAGCCAAAAGATTTTTTAGCGTTTTCCATAAATATTATTTTATTTATATTGGTTAAATCAAATAGGTCGGGCGGCATAGACTGCTTGAAATTCGGTGACGACATCTTGGAGTACAACTACAATTTCCGCTTCTACGTCACAACGCGTCTTAGCAACCCGCACTACCTGCCAGAGATTGCAGTTAAAGTAAGTTCGATCTCATTTAAAATTAAAACGTTGTTTTCTATCAGTGTGGTTGCCCTGGGTCAAAGCGCTCACCGTAAAATTCATAGTACGCCTGCATTCCGGGTTCGAAACCCACTGGCAAGTCAATGTAGATGGGGCCACTGACATTGCAATTTTAAATGATGACTGACTGTTGTGGAAGAACATCGTAAGGAAACAGCATGTGATATATAATAATGAGTGCCACGTTGGTCTTGTGGTCGTAGCACGACTGCTTATTATGTGATGCCAACCACACCAGTCATTGGGTTATTCTATCAAGAAATCCTCTGTAGCAGCAGCCTGGAGTCGAGAATTTGACGGAGTCTCATTTTCGTGCTTGGGAAGCACGCTAAAGCAATTGGTTCTGCGCCTGATCTCTCTCCGTACATATCAGATTCGCGTCTCATCGGACCATGACAGTGAGGAAGTAAAGAGTGCACCTGTACTTGTGCGCGCACTCTCGCACTGTAATCTTGTCCTTTACATATGGCTAGTCTCCGTTGCGACTTGTCGCCGTGACCGAAATTCGGTCTGGAATCATTAATGTTATTTATAATGTTAATTAAAAATGTAAACGACATGAAAAGTCCGTAATCACTGGATCAACGCGGCGGACTAATTGCTCTACAACTCTTTTAGAATTAAGAGGAGCTCTATGCCCAGCAGTGGTATGAGAAAGTTCAAGGCCGTTCAGCGAGCTATAGAGGGAACTCTATTCGGTATACGTCTACGTAATAGTCATAGAATGAGGATATATATAATCAGAGTAACTGACATAGCCCAACGGATTGGTTTGTTTCCTTCTGTCGCCTCTTACGACATTCATGAGACGATATGGGGTAGTGGATATTCTTAAACCGCCATAGACGGTCCGGTAGTGGATTTAAGTGTTAAAGATTCTAATTATATCACTTGTTCTACAGGTAACATTGTTAAACTTCATGATAACACCCCAAGGGTTAGAAGATCAATTACTTGGCATCGTGGTGGCACAAGACAGACCTGAACTGGAACTTAAGAAAAATCAACTTATAGTCGAAGGTGCGACCAATAAAAGGACTTTGAAAGAAATTGAAGATAAAATACTTGAGGTAGGGATATTATAATAATTTCTTAAAATTGAACGAACTACTAGTTTTTCTTACGGATTTTATCGTGTTTAATTAACTTCTTTTATATTCCTGTTTCGGAGCACTTTACAGAACTTATGGTCACGAAGGAGGCCGAAGTTTTCAACGTTTTAATATTATAGTTAACAGGACTACCTTCAGTTAAAATATTTTATTAGTTAGTATCTTGAAGTCTTGTAGTTATATGCTTGAATTATATGTTTGGGTTATTAATTTTATTAATTATAGGATCCCAAGTAGATGGTAGCGTTCAGCTACCTTATCTATTGAAATCAGGATGTTTTTGATTTCACTGGCCTCGCAAATCAATCTAGATAGGAATCGCTATTGTTTAGCAAGAATTTGTGGTGTATCAAATCTGATGAAATTGCGGGGATCGTCTCCGCAATTAGATTCTTGTTCCCTTTAAGTGTTCAGTTTGCAAAAATCACAGAGCTTCGATTCTTCAAGATATTATTTCACATCTTTCTCGGAACGCCTATAGATGACGTTCATGATTAATGAATGAAAGGTCAAATTCTATTCCTATTAGAAGTATATGCTATAGCTAAGTATATATATATATATTTTTTTTTTTTGAATATATAATAATATGATATGCTGTATAGAGCTATATTATTAACTAACCGCCTAGTAGTATACACAGAAGTCTTTGGCGTCTATATATTATTACCTACGCATTCATGCTCATCGGTTAATGGTTATTTTCTGTAATAATTTCGCTTTTAAAACTGTGGTAGTACAATTTGCGTTCATATTATGAGCTTTAAATACTGAATAAAATAATGTTGACATTAATTTTGACTATATCCCAACCCATAATATATACATATCAGTGTGTATATGACATACCAGTTTGGCGACAGTGTCATCTCGTAATAATAATGTGAATGAACTAAATTCTACATCATGGTATCGAACTTTCCGAACGACTCTGTATATAGAGAACATTTTAATTTAATAAAATAAATGAATGAGCTATTGTGATTAAATGATAGTGCTGCTTGCACTCCCATGCTAAGACTGCATGGTGCAGTCCAGTTGCCGGTGCGTCTTTAATGCTGGTAGCTGGTAAGTAATGTATGCCCTGTGTACCAGGGTAAGTATGTCAGTGTGTGCTTAATGCCACACACACACCCACGTTCATCTCATTTAATCGGTTCTCTTATCCAGCTTCGGTTGGCCATATCAATTTAATGCAACATGTATTTTTCTTGCCTTTTGTCTTTTCTCCCTCATCCATTCATCCATTACAACCTGCCGTACACTGCTGAACAAAGGCCTCCTCATAAATTGCCTCATAGGGCCGATTTCGCCGTAGTTGAAGATCATATAATACTACAATGCATATAGTATTCTATAAGAAAGATACTGCTGCTCATCTCCTGGTTGCAGCACGAATGGGTCGGCTCGACCGGGGTAGGACCACTCTCTCACAACATACCAGCGTAAAATAGCAGCTTCATGCTTTAGTTTGGTGAGTGTAGTAAACCTGAAATCCTTCTATTGGAAACTGTGTATTCTATAATTGAGGGTAAAAGTAAATGTCTATGAGCCACAGCATCCACTTATCATCAGGTGGACTGTGTGCTCATTTGTCACCCTTATTCTATAAAGAAAACATTCAAATTAAATATCGTTTAAGCCAGTCAAACGATATTAATGAAATTTGTGCGTGCTTGAATGGGAGTTGTTAATCTAAACTTTAAATGGTTTAGATTTACTTTTATGCTGTTGTGATCTAGAAATCACCTGCTTGAAGCGTTTCCCTAGTGTTTTATAATATTTGGGTGACAATCAAACTAGCAATCCACCAATAATAATTGACAGCTTCAAGCAAAGAAGACCACAAATGCGTTCTGATAAAACAATTTCACATCTCCTGTTGCAGTTTCCCTCTGTTCCTCTTACGACACCCATGGGACGATATGAGATAGTGGGTATTCTTACACCGCCGTTACACGGTACATAGAAATTAAGAAAGAAAGAAAGAGTACGAGTATTTATTTGAAACACACATTTTAAACAAAGAAATGTACAAACGCACGCGTTAGTCTTTTACGTATTTACAATTAACGATCGATTCTTTATCAACATTCAATATAAATATCTACCTTAACTTAGATATAGTTGAGTCAATCACTAGCGTACATGTAAAATATTGTGTTCAAAAATGAATTCAGATTGAGATTGAGATTCATGTAGGTAATACCAAGTCGGTTAATTTATATACTCCCTACTTAACGTTTCTTCTGTTTTAAGTTGTTACGTAATTAGCTAACCTAACAACATCTTATAGTGATCATATCAATATTAAAAAAGGACATAAATTAATTTAAAACAAAAAATGTGACCTCGAATAGGTCTTTAATTCAGCACAATGCAAAGGCAGCGCTGGTTTCAATTTCAAAGTGACTTCACTGACAAGTCGGTGTATTATCCTCCAATTAGAAGTTTGAAAAAAAGATGAACGGTTTACATTTATTAAAGTTACACAGTAATTAAATAACACAAAACAAATTAGAAATAACATGGTAACGATGCCTTCATTTCCATGGGTTATGATCATTCATAATTTCCTTAATATTACAATAACCCTTTTATACAATCTTTAATAAAGTTTATAAACATGGCGGAAGTTAGATTTTGTACATTTGAAGGGATTTTGTTTAAAATTACGAGTAAGTTACGCTAGTATACGCTAACGTACATAGATAATACACATGTACACTTTGACTGTATACAGATATACAGAAGTGGTAAGGTTATATAAATTATCCAGGTGCTGTCGTCAGCCGGTAATATCCTGGAGGACGAGTCGGCGAACGTGATCCTATCGTCTTCGAAGCAGCTGTCGCTGGAGATCGAGGCGAAGCAGGCGGCGGCGGCGGGCACCGAGCGCGAGATCGACGCCGCGCGCCAGCTCTATGTGCCCGTCTCAGAGCATAGCTCCGTGCTCTTCTTCTGCATCTGCGATCTAGCGAACATCGATCCTATGTACCAGTACTCACTTAATTGGTGAGTGAACTTAATTTTTTTTATTGAAAAGAAAAAAAGAACCCTTCGTCGTATCTTCTCAGTTTCAAGACACTCCTCTTGTTGCCTCATCCAGTATCGGAATCATCGGCGTTGATATATCGAGTGACGTGCAGTTTCGTGGTCACTTGGAAGAAAAGGCAAAATTGGCCTCTAAAAAAGCTTGGCGTGATCAGAAGAGCGGGACAGTATTTCATGCCGGTTCACCACCTGCAACTTTACAAGGCGCAGGTTCGGCCGCACGTGGAATACTGTTCCCATCTCTAGGCCGGGGCTCCCCAGTGGCAGCTCTTTCCATTTGATCGCATCCAGCGCAGAGCAGTTCGATTCATTGGCGATCGAGCTCTTTCCGATCGGCTTGACTCACTGGCACTGCGAAGAGATTTTGCATCTCTTTGCGTATTTTATCGCATCTACCACGGGGTGTGCTCTGAGGAATTGTTCGGACTAATAACAGACTCTAACGTCTTACTTCTCGACCCTTCACATAATTTATTACCCGAGCTAAGTAAAGACGGGGTGTTCCCCTCCTCTATTTCCCGAAAATTGCGAGTCAATAATTCGGGAGGTTCAACAACAGGATGTTGCCGAAACATTATCCATGATAGGGGCGGAACCAACGATAACGTAGCCCAAGACGGTCTCCAGTGCGTAAGGCGCGGTATGCGAGGGGTTGCCCCTGACCTTATTGTGTAACAAAAGATGAGGGAAAAGCGATGCTCCAATGAGCATGTCTATATCTCCGGGAACGGCGTAAGTATCGTCTGCCAGAGTTAAATTCTCAAAATCAATCATTGCCGAGGTGTCGACCGAAACGGTTGGCAGACGCTCGATGACTTTATCTACTACTAATGCATTTAAAGTTAATACTACGATCTAGCCGAGAATAAAATTTCAAATTTATAGAGCCCTGGGTAATTTTATTAGTACCTCCGATGCCTTTGACTACTGGACATGAAGGTATCTTATTAGCAATCCTAAACGCTGGCAACATTGTCGCGTTATAAAGCTACTCTGTGATCCGCTGTCTAGCAACGTACGGACACTTTGTTCGTTTCCACGCGAATCCCTATACACACAGCAACACGGTGGAAGGGGACTGCGTTCCCGTATTCGATAGTGAGCACAGAACGACGTCACCCGGTCGACCATTAGAAGCGTCGAGTTTAGTATGTGTAGTTTCCTTGTCCGAATTACTCGACGCGAATATGTTGCTACCTTCGAAATGTAATAACGTGTGATGTCTGCTGGCGCACTTGTTACAAACGGAACTAAAATTGCATTTAGCAACTAAATGTCTATCGCTTAGGCAATTTAAACATAAGTTGTTCGTCTTTACTATTCCATAACGTTCGCTGGGTGAATGTTTACGGAAGGTCGCACAATTATACAAATTACCGTGTTGTTTATTCTTACATAGAACACAGGCGCTATGAGGCGATGTAGGCTCAGCGGTTACGTACGTCAGAGACCCAGCGGTCCTAGTTGATGAGATCTGTCTGCGATCGACACATTTCTTAACTTCTTGTTTGACATTCGAGGAGCGCTGTATCACTTTAATTTGATCTCGTACAAAGGATGCTAAGGAGTCGAATGACGGTAACTCAGAGCTACGATGCTCCATTTCAAACGCACGCACGATATCCGAGTCTAGTTTCTTTAAGGCGATATTGAGAAACACCACGTCCATAAGGTCATTAAATTTCAGGTTCTTGAGCGCAGCCACCGATGCTACAAATTTATCTAAAAACTGCTCTAAGCCAGTGATGTTCGCGGATGATATAGCTTTAAGATCGAATATCTGGTCTAAATATGCAGAGGCTAACATTCGCTTATCTTCATATTTGTTTTTAAGCGTTTCGAATATTAATGAATAATTGTTTGCTGTTGGTCGACATAAAAATAATATAATCTTTCAGCGTCCGATAACGATGGATTATTATGTATGGTGTTTTGAAAGCTATTATTAAACAACGGCCAAGTTTTAATATCTCCATTGAATACCGGAATATCTATGGGGGGCAATCTAAGTGATTCACGTGAGCGTACCTGGATTTCTGGTTTTGCTTCCCTTTAGGCTGGAGACTGTAAGAGCTTTGCCGTCCTTTTTATTCGACACAACATATCTTCAAATGATAGAAGTGGTTGACAGTTCACTGTATACTTAGGGTCGATTTGTAATTCTAAACTATTAATTTTGTTTAATATATTTTCGTTATTCGATCGCAAAGAGTCCACCGTTTCGATTTCACATAAAAACGTTTCCCGCACTGAATTTACGTTAATATTTTTTATGTGATCACTTATATATTATATACGTGAAAAGAGTACGTCCCTCTTGCCGTAAAGAGTTAAGTTTAATTTCATTTCCACTACCTGCCATCTTGAATCACTATAATTAATATTAGATTAATCACAAAGAATATCGTACAACGCTGGAAGATGAACACAATGCACCCCGACTATATCTCACAACACGCTATTGTCTTATCGTGCCTTATTACGTCGTTAAATTGAACACGCTGTCCGTATTTTTTTTTCTGGAAGGTAACTTGCAATCAAACGAGATAACACGCGTCGACTAGATAAGAATTTAAAGCTCGTATAATTACAAATAGCGGGTAAGATAAATAAAATTAAGCGGGTCTAACTATTTAAATAAATAAGTATCTATTTACCTATGCAAATAAACTAATCAAAATTTAAATTTAAACTAAAACAAAACTACATAAATCTATCTGTAGTGTATAGACAATCGTCTAATGAGTCATCGCTACTAGTGTATAAATACCCCCCGCTTTGGGAACATCGGGCAGTTGGATTGCAACCGGCGAGCAGACAACATATCTGTTAACACGTATAACCGTTAGGTGTGTACCGTGTAAAGTGAAGTGTGTTAGTGACATTGTGTAATAAGTGATACCGTGTACATTGTACAAAATAAAGCAACGTATTGTATACTATCCAATATTAAATTAGAGTGTATTGTCCAAGGAATTGGTTCAGCAGTTCGACTCGATGAGGCTACCAGTTCCAAATCCGCTCGAATGACCAGAAAAATGGTTTGGCGGCGGGCCTAAGGGTTCCCGAGTTCGATTCCCAAGTTGAGCCTTGACCCTATTATGCGAGATGTTATACTAAGTGGACTGTATACGCGATGGCTTCTTATGCCTCAAGAAGATGGCGGATGTGGCACGCGGTATCTTAGACAATGCACTCGCTCTTCCGAAATCTATTGCTTGCCAAGGTTAAGGAGGGAATTCTACAATTAGGAGAAACAAAATGGTGCGGGTTAAGTAATAAACAAAATGCTCAAATAGAAATAAAATTACGGGAGACACTCTTACCAGGGTGTGATTCTGATGCGGCAGACGACGCTTCCGTTGCGGTGATGCGACGTGAGGTGGGTTCTTCTGGGCGCGGATGCGATCCAGGCCAGTGGTGCGAAGGAAGAGAGCGGCGCGCGACGATATCTCACACTATGTGAGGCGGTTACTTCTAGGACGCGACTGCCCCAGGTGGTGCGGTTCAGACTAGCGGCGCGTGGCAAGAGGCCGATCGAGGGCAGCGCGCGAGCCTATATTACCTCGGCTTTCCTACCAATGCACCTCGGTCGGGCGCGCGTCTCATTACTCGAAAGAATCGCGCCAACTTCTAGACTCCCCCCTCTCCCCTTTCAGTGTGTACGGAAGGGATATTAGGTCAAAGGATGGGTAAACGCTAGGCAATATACCCTCGAATGAAATTAAAAATACAAGAATCGTTTCCGCGTAACCAACATTATACGCTCATTATATTCAATTATTAGGACGTACTGTACTATTATATTTAATTTTTATTGAAGTTCATCTATTTATGTACCTACCTATCATATTAATTTTACATAGATATTTTTTATTTCTCTTTACAAAAATTATCTATTATACAATAATGAAACCAAAATTCAAATCTAATACATAACAAAATTTCATCAGGTGTCGGTGTACCTCTGTTTTGTTTTGTTCAGAAACTCCTGTATCTCATGACTATGATGAGGAAACGTGTAGTTTCAAATTTTGTTAATAATATTTGACTTCTTCGTGTTATACTGGACTCTTTAAATGTACTTAAAAATAATTATGTTTTCAATTATTAAAAAAATCACGAGTTTGGTTAATTGATAATCGATTAGGCCTTTTCGAAATGTATATAATATGCTTTGTCAATTCACAATTTGCAATTCACTGGAAAACACCTATTTATAATAAAAAGCGATTTTGAACGAAGACCTAATTAAAATATAACGTCCTATATTTAAAAGTTGTAAATATTTTACACTGTATTTGTAAGTTTTCGATTTATTTTATTGTTATTAACTCTTAAGGTTTCATAACTCATTTTAGTGTGTAAAATCCTGTTGAAGAGCCTTGCAAATGTTGTACATATCTATTAGGATAAGTTATTTTGTATGCAAAACGTAACACAAAATATTATGCACCTTTTGAAGCGAGCATGTTGTTAAAATTAGGAAGAATATTACATTAAAAAATGGCAAGTTTTATAGAATCGTCAAAAAGAACGATACCGTAACGTTACTCTGGGTTGTTCCTAAGTCTGTAAGATGGCAAATACTAAAAATGAATCATGACAATAACACTTTGGGTTTGAAAAGACATACGAACGAATCAAAAGTATCTACTGGTTCAAAAATATGAGAAAGTTCACAAAAAATATATTGCAAGGCTTGTCTAGAATGTGCTCATAATAAAATTTCAGCCAGACCAAGGGAAGGAATGCTTCATCCTATTGAAAAGGTAAGCAAACCATTTTCCACCATACAAGCAGATCATTGCGGACCATTCCCGTTAAGCAAAAGAGAAATCAAGATATATTGGCAATTATTGATTCTTTTACAAAATATATATATCTTAAAGCTGTCCGTGATTGTAGAAGTAAACAGAGTATCCAAATTTTGCTTTGCATTATTTGGGGTGCCGCGACGTTTAATTACAGATCGCGGTACCAGCTTCACTAGTAATGAATTTAGCAAATATGTAATGGGGAAAGGTATGAAACACATATTAAATGCGGTCGCTACACCTCGAGCAAACGGTCAGGTCGAACGATATAATAAAACTCTCGTAGAATCACTCGCTTCTGCTAATCATGGACATCCTGAAAATGAATGGGATACCGTATTGTTTTAAGTGGTCGTTGAACAACACAGATAACAAAGGTACTGGGAAAACTCCTGCTAAGACTTTATTTGGAGTGGTTCCTACGGGAAGTTGCAATAGCGTTATGAACAGTGTAGTGGCTGAATCTCAGCAACTTCAAAACCGAGATGGAATTCGATGACGTTGAACAACGAATTTCTTCTGAACATCTGAATCAAAAGACCAGGTTTGATAAAACGAGAAAAGAAGCTAAGCAATATAAAATAGATCTTGTTCGTATAGAGAAAGATATATACGATATGGCGCCGGGACATACCAGAAAGTTGGTTCCGAAATGTTCCGTGCCGTACAGAATAACAAAAATTCTGAGTCCTGATCGATATGAGGTTCAAGACACACCGATTACTAAAAAGGAAGGTAAAGCGGCATACATCGGAGTTTACCCGGTAGATAAAATACATCCAAAATGATCCAATCTCCAGTGACTCAGAGTAGAATTCCGATTAATGCATCCGTAATGATTTCTTAAATTTTTTATTATTATATTTAATTTTTTATATAATTTAGTTTTATTCAATATTTAATGCATCCGTGTTTTAAATTATTGTCCCTTTAAGATATGTAGTTGTAGTTGCATCATAATTGTGATATATTATAAAGGAAGAGATATATTAAAATAGTAATACAATACAAACATACAAGTGAAAAATACAATAGTAATTTATATTATTATTATATGATACGCCCTGCTGTTGTATATAATCTTTATGGATAAAACATAATAGATAATGCATGAATATATGAATAATTATTACACTTTAAGGCCGATATGTGCAACGGCATTCATTAGATATAAGAAAGTGAGCCGTTACTGAATTGTATCGGTTTGGACCGTTCTGTGCAACGGCATCCATTAGATATAAGATAGTGAGCCGTAACTGAATTGTATCATGGCGTGGACCGTTCTACGCAACGGCACTTCTTAGAGTTAAAGAGTGAGCTGGTACCGAATGGTATCAGTGTGGACCGTTCTGTGCAACGGCATTCATCAGATATAAGATAGTGAGCCGTTACTGAATTGTATCGGTGTGGACCGCTCTGCGCAACGGCACTTCTTAGAGTTAAAGAGTGAGCTGGTACCGAATGGTATCAGTGTGGACCGTTCTGTGCAACGGCATTCATTAGATATAAGATAGTGAGCCGTTACTGAATTGTATCTCGGTGTGGACCGTTCTGCGCAACGGCACTTCTTAGAGTTAAAGAGTGAGCTGGTACCGAATGGTATCGGTGTGGACCGTTCTGTTCAACGGCATTCATCAGATATAAGATAGTGAGCTGTTACTGAATTGTATCGGGTGTGGACCGTTCTGCGCAACGGCACTTCTTAGAGTTAAAGAGTGAGCTGGTACCGAATGGTATCAGTGTGGACCGTTCTGTGCAAAAGCATTTATTAGATATAAGAAAGTGAGCCGTTACTGAATTGTATCGGTGTGGACCGTTCTGCGCAACGGCACTTCTTAGAGTTAAAGAGTGAGCTGGTACCGAATGGTATCAGTGTGGACCGTTCTGTGCAACGGCATTTATTAGATATAAGAAAGTGAGCCGTTACTGAATTGTATCGGTGTGGACCGTTCTGCGCAACGGCACTTCTTAGAATTAAAGAGTGAGCTGGTACCGTATGATATCAGTGTGGACCGTTCTGTGCAACGGCATTTATTAGATATAAGAAAGTGAGCCGTTACTGAATTGTATCGGTGTGGAACGTTCTGCGCAACGGCACTTCTTAGAGTTAAAGAGTGAGCTGGTACCGAATGGTATTGGTGTGGACCATTCTGTGCAACGGCATTCATTAGATATAAGAAATTGAGCCGTTACTGAATGGCATCAGTGTGAACCGTTCTATGCAACGGCATTCATTAGAGTTAAAGAGAAAACCGATGTCGAATGGTTACTATTTAGTCAGTATCAAGTTAAAACAAGTTATTAGTAGTTAGAGTTAGAGTTAAGAGTTATTGGTAATTTAAAATCTAATATCTTTGGTACTGTTTTTACGCGGGGACGCGTCTAGTGTCAGGATTGGTCGAGTGTTAGATAGATGATGATTACGCAATATTACTTAGCAATCTTCACAATTAATATTAATATGAATCTATTTCGAACTACCTACATTAATTCTAGAATTGAGTCACAATATAAAAGCTCGTACACTTGACGCTCGCGGCAGTAGATTACGAACAGTGGTGCTGAGAAGGTTATAATAGTCAAGTCTATTGTGAAATAAGGTGATTCTAAAGGTTGTGATTAAATTAATATATAGTCTTCTTTGTGAAAGTATACCTTTTATATTATGAATATATATATATATATATATATATATATCGGAATCTCGGTAACGGCTCCAACGATTTTCATAAAATTTAGTTTCCAGGGAGTTTCGGGGGCAATAAATCGATCTAGCTAGGATTTATTTTTAGAAAATGTCTTTTTGTCCGTGTTTTCAGGCAATGAAAAACTGCTACAATATAAGAAGTTAAATTTTGACGCTGTGGCAATGATCGTAATAGCTCGAGTGGATATCGAGCGGTGGTGAAATCGTAATGCCTTGGTTCGCGTCCCGTCTTCGGTCCGATTTTTTTTCCTTTTTTTTTCCAAGTTCCCTTTTTTGTGAGAAAATCTATTATTTCGAGCTCTTTTTTTTAGTATTTAAAAAAAAGATAATTTAAATTAAACTAATTCCACTCATGATTTTTTATTCAAAGAACCAGTTCAGTTTTTTCTATTACGTCAATAAGATCAAAAAATATTATTCATCATTATGTAATTTGTATCTAAGCGTAATTTTAAAAAAACCGAGCAAAGGTCATCCGGGTACTTAATATATAGTCTTCTTTGTGACAGTAAAGTATAGTGTGATATAAACTGTATTATATACAATTTAAGACTGAAACTAAACAACGAACATAGTGGTTAAACAGTTAACTGAGTTGTCGTGGTTTTATTGGAGAGAAGCTGACAATAGACATCTCGATTAAGAATTAAAATGCGTTATACCCCTGAGCACCAAGATGGAATGCCTTGTTTCAATTACAAAAGGTCTCCGGTTCTCTACGCTCACCATACAAAACCGCTGGTATTCCGTAAGATCGTGGTTCTTCACCAGTCGAACCGACCCATACGTGTTACAGCCCTAGTATAGCTACAGCATGGCTTCACCACGTAAAAACATACGTTACAGCGTGTTTACATCAAACAGCTGGGCATCGAACTTCTCTCATTTCTGACGGATTTTTGAGCCAGTATTCGCCGCCATATAATCCTCTTTTTGTACTTGGAACATACAAATTCATCTCGGTGCCAATTTGTCTGGCTGACGCAAAGGTTCTTTCATTCACATTGATTTTAAAATTTAGCATTGATATAATCTGACATTGGGGTTTCGATCAAAGTTCCTTAAATCACTTTTTTGATTACATTTAAAAATAATTTTCTTATAATTATGAATATAATGAATATTCATCATAATTTCATTTAATGGTCCGCAACTTCTGGTCTCAAAACAAAGGCTGTATCTATAAAAACGAATCTTTTCAAACCTACTTTAGGAAACATGCTAAAAACATGCTGTTCCCAATTGCCATAAGCTTTCTAATTCTAATACATAATATTGGTGGGAAAGTCTGTTGTGTAGCTAGAGAACTCCAATATTTGCATAGCGTGCACTTAATCGAGTTTCTATTCACTCTAATATAAAATAATATTAAATTATACAAAAATTCATTATCTCTTCTTTTCAGGTTCATAAATTTATACAATCAGGCGATTATTAACTCACCGAAAAGCGACGACCTATCTATTCGTCTTCAGGGACTCAACGATTATTTCACACGTAGCATCTACGAAAACGTCTGCCGCAGTCTGTTCGAAAAGGACAAACTTATATTCTCTCTCGTTCTAACTCTCGGCTTATTGAGACCTAAGGTAAGACTTTTTGAAGGATGAAATATTTATACATATAATATCATATAGTTTCTTCTATGCATTTCATCTTTGTTCGCTGCTGCGTGTACGGACATCTCCCATTATTGAAAGGATTTGCCTTATTCGTCACGCCTGTAACGTGGTAGAGGTTCCTACAGCTACGTTATGATTGTAGAAAGATCGATCAGTTCTCTCACAGAATACCAGTGTGAAATAGCAGCTTAAAGCTGCTGAGTTTCGTATGGTGAGTGCAGAGAAGGATAGATGTAGGTGTATGGGCCACAGCATCCACTTACCTTCAAGTAGACTGTGTGCTTGTTAGTCATCCTTTTACTATAAAACAAGTCGGAGTGAGTACCTTTCAATAGTCTAGCACCTTTGGCACAGCTCCTTGTTGACTAAACATAGTGATTTCAAATCGACTCGAGCCGGCAGCATTAAAATTGTTAATTATATATGCATATGCAGAGTAGTAATGATATTAATATGCAGAGAACCTCAAAACATTACCCTTTATTTGCATAATAATTAATTCATCTGATAATTTCTTGATTTTATAACTAGGGAGAAATAGACGACGAGCTCGTTGCGTTCCTATTGACCGGGGGCGTGGCGCTGGAAAACCCTTACGAGAACCCGGCGCCCGGCTGGCTCTCCGAGAAATCCTGGTCGGAGATTGTGCGCTGCAGCAATCTAAATGGGTAAGAATAAAGATTGTATATTTAATAATATATCAAATGCTAAAAGCATAGGTACGCTTGTATGTATACTACGTGACAGGCTCTACGGCCTTAATACATTGCGCAATAAGTTACGGTCAATTCTCCGTAATTCTTTTAGTCGATTACGTGCGGTCGAGAAGACTACGAGTGGACATTCCCCGGTCGTGCCGACACATTCGTGTACCGACTCTAACTCTACTACTAATATAACTGCACCATGGCTCTACCACGTATAAAATAATAAGACAATAGCGTAATTTGCTGCCAAAATGTATTAAAGATAGATAAATAGAGTTGTTCAGAATCATGTGTATGAAAAATCCATACTTTACTATTACAATGTGAATGTCTGTCTCAGGCTGTTATGGCTAAACCGTTAAATCTATTTTGATAAAATTCAGATGGTTTAGTACCTGGTTAAGCCAAAAAAGTTAGGTATATCACAGCTAAGTAGGCTGTAAAGCCTACTTTAGTTTAGTCGTTATTAACCGTTAAACCGCAAATTTGGATAAAGACGGTGAAATGAATTTTGACGTGGTAGAGCCATGCTGCAGCTATATTAATTGTATATTTGTAGCACGAATGGGTCGGCTCGACCGGGGAAGGACCACGCTCTCACAGAATACCAGCGTAAAGTAGCAGCTTAATGCTGCTGTGTTTCGTATGGTGAGTGTAGAGAACCGGAGACCCTTTTTAGTGGAGAAGAGGCGTTTCATCTTAGTCCCCAAGGCTGACAACGCATCTCCATTATGATTCGCAAACCATGATAGATGTAGATGTCTATGGGCCACAGCAACCACTTACCATCAGGTGGACTGTGCGCTCGATTGTCACCTTTTCATATAAAAAATGGGTATAAAACTTTGTATAGGAAATGCTAAGCCGTTCAACCGATTTTGACGAGATTTGGTATTCAAATAGCTGGAAAGATTTAGAACGCTAGATTACCTTTTATTCTCAAAGAGATAAAGTGGTATGACTGAATTCCAAGCGGACGGAATTGTATTTGTATACTTTTTTAAATTACTATTTATTAAGTACTTGTTATCTTTGAAACGCGTTGGCCTGTTTATCTACGTTAGTTAACATCAAAGATACACAAATTGCAATAGGTTACTATGAATATAAAACTAACTAAAACTAAATGTTGGTCTGTTAAGAAGGTATGTACTTCTTTTTAATAAATAAAACATATTTACGGAATATTACGAAATAATAAAATGCATTCAAAGTTATGGAATAGTAACATTTGTTAAAAGCTTACTAGGCCGTAACCAGTAAAAAAGGGTCTCCGGATCTCTACACTTATCATACGAAACATAGCAGCATTAAGCTGCTACTTTACGCTGGTATTCTGTGAGAGCGTGATACTTCCCCGGTCGAGCCGACCCATTCGTGCTATAACCATAATATATAGCTGCAGCGTGGCTCTACCACTTATAAAAATAAAAGTAATTAACTTATTTACTTGTATTTTAAAAACTGCAATGAAGGTATATCATTATATATTTGACATACACACACATTGGGTGCGTTTGGCAGAAAAAAGCGCTAGCAAGCGCTTATAAGCGCTAAAATAGTTTTCGGCCAGGACACGATTGCTACTTCAGTAGCGCTGACACAATCCGCCATTTTGCTTATTTAATTTGTTTGTTTTGAAGTAGAGTTTATAAGTTGTTTTGTGCAATATTAGTTTTAAGTAATATAATGACATGAATAAACATATACATGCTATTAAAAACTCATGATTGGTAAGTTTTTAATATGAATACTTTACAAACATATATTTAAATTAGGTTAGATTCCCCGGTTAAAACTAACATCGTGTCCTGGAGGAAAATAGCTACTTACGATTTGACAGCGCTTACCGCTTACGATCGCCATTTTGCTTACAAGCGCTTGCAAGCGCTTTTTTCTGCCAAACGCACCCATAGATATACAGATACATTACAATAAGATGTAAAATTTTACTACTCTTTAAAAATTAACCCTGACTGTCAGCTCGTTGCACTTTATGAATCTTATATACATTCATAAAGTGCAACGAGCTGACAGTCCACCTGATTATAAAAGGCTACTGCAGCCCATGAATACCTGCAGTCATCTTTAAACAAGCAGGAGGCTATAGACGCGTTGTCACGTCTAAGGACAAGGACAGGATGCCTCACAGCCTGTGATTAAACTGGCTCTCAGATCGGTACACAGCAGTGCAAGCACTGCTATTTAGGGGCACAATTATGTAGGAGAGTGGTACGAACTACTAGGCAGAAAAGTAATCCTTTAACCTTGAAATGATTTCTTGAGAGTGTGAAATTATTTGATCATAAACTTTTTTATATAGTTTGCGAGAACATTTCCTATTGCCTGCTCTCCAAGTATTCAACAGTATAAAAAAGGTATTTGAGAAGATACCTAAACAACAGACCTTTTGTGAACGTGGTAGTCACGCTGCAGCTGTACTATGTTTGCAGCACAAATGATTTGTCTCGACTGGGGTAGAATGCCTTCACGGAATACAAGTGTAAAATAATGCTACTGTGTTTCGTATCGTAAGTATAGATTATAGATATAGATGGAAGCCTATGGTCCATATCAACCACTTGCAGTCGGGTGATTTGTGTGCTCGTTGCTCACCCTTATTCAATCAAAAGGAAATTGTTTCTTAATCGAGGATGAATGTGGACGTCTGTAGGCCACAGCATCCACTTACCATCAGGTGGATTATGTGCTCATTTGTCATTTACATGCTGTAAAAAATACTATCCATCACTGATATGAAAAGACCTGTAAAATTATTGTAGTCTTTCGACTTTAAAATTCTGCTAATGTCCAGGTTGCGCGGGTTTAAAGAGAACTTTGAAGCGAACTTGAACAGCTGGAAGGATTTCTACGATCTATCGGCTCCACAAGAAAGTAACTTTCCAGCGCCTTATGAAAACATCAAAGGGATCCCGAAGCTCATTATTTTGAGGTACGGAATTATTTGTTTTAGCTGATAATAACGCTTGGTAATGTTTTGATCACTTCCAAGCTGTAAGTAATTTTAAAATCTGTGTTTTACTGACTCTGATGCTGGTGTTGAGCTGATGAAATATATTTTCATTGCATGGGATATTTCACGGGATGCTATGGGTATGTTTTATGCCCTCAGTGGGTTCACCACGATACATAAACAAAGATATCTTTTTCTATTTCTATTGCATTATTATACTTTAAAAAAAAGTCCCGCTGGGTTCCTTGCTGATTCTATGATACACAAATTTTATATTTAACAAGTTAAAACACCTCTCGAATTTTAATGTTTTGCTTATATTATTTTAATATATACTAATATATAGTAAGCGCGACTGTTGACCATGCTGTCATGAGTTTGAATCCCGGGTCGGGCCAAAATCAATTATTCTCAGTAGTAGTCAGAAAGTTTTCGGTGCTTCACCCCCGTATCTCGGAAGGCACGTAAAAGTCGTTAGTCGTGCGCCTTGTGTATCTCTGGTCTTTTGGATTTCTGTCGCACTGGGCTATGAGAATAAGGGAACTGTGAATGCTTTTGTGTTTGTGTACACTAGTACACTATAATCCTGTCCTGAGCTAATGGCTCGTCTCCGTCGAGATTATGCGATCGTGACCGAAATCCGATTTGGGGGACATTATTGTTATTATATATTGCAGATGCATCCGCCCAGACAAACTTATTCCATTGGTGCAACAATACGTGGCCGAATCTCTGGGGCGGAATTACATCGAGCCGCCGCCCTTTGATCTCCAGCGTTCGTACGACGATAGCAACTGCTGCTCACCACTCATATTCATACTGTCTCCCGGTTCAGACCCCATGTCAGGACTGGTCAAGTTCTCGATGGAAAAGAAGGTCGTTAGCTTCGAAACTATCTCGCTTGGACAGGGTCAGGTGAGTGTAATTTGAATTTTACATCTATTGTCAATTTGAAAACTATTTTTCAGGCTTTACAAGGATAAATGGCTAATAAGAAAAATGTGAAACGTAAAGAAACAGCTTTAATGCTTTCCACAGCTGGTCTCATTTCTTAAATTTTTTTTTAATATTCTAAGCTAGCGCTTATCTTAAACCCCACTTGATGGTAAGTGGTGATGTAGTCGAAGATGGTAAAGCGTACTGACTTATCAAAAGCTTATTCATGCTTGTCTTCAAGTTATAATCGAATGGAAAAACAGATACTTTCAACTTATTCCACTCCTTTGCTGTACACATGACAATAAAACTAACCGTTTGGTTCGAATGCGCGGTAAATCGACAACGAAAGGGTGGAGTCGTGCCGAACATCTGGTTGTGACGAACGATGGTGGAAGGGAGAGGAAGTAATTAAGTTATATAATACCCGGTTCTTTGATCGGATTTATGAGATGGTTTTAATGCAAGAAAGACTCCACAGCGCTTCTCAATGCGTACTGCAAATGAGAGAAGGCATGTGCCCAATAGTGGGACGTATAATGAGCTGTAACTTCAACTTTTACCTTTTAATAAACTAAAAACTAGTTTCATTCGACGAAATATCCTTAAATTATAAGATAAACAGGTCTCTTTACGATGATTTCATTCATCGCCAAGCAGACGGTAATATATAATATATTATATATTATAATATATAATATATTATAACTACAATTAACAATATCGTTCGTTCGTTAAGGATCTCGAGTCGTTCCCGTTTTATGAAACGAGACTGTCTGATGTTTCCAGGGCCCAATAGCAACAAACATGATTAACCAAGCGATAGTGTCGGGTGGCTGGGTGGTGCTGCAGAACTGTCACGTGATGGAATCGTGGATGGGCGAGCTGGAGAGGATCTGCGCCGAGGTGATCGTTCCGCATGGGACGCATCCGCACTTCCGGTGCTGGCTCACATCGTACCCGAGCAAGGCATTCCCGGTTACTGTGCTTCAGAACGGTCAGTGTTTTCGATATACACTCTCCACCATTACAGCCTATCAATAGTCCTTTGCTGAACATTGGCCTTCCCCGTAGATTGGCTCATAGGGGGGATAACTATCATCATAGTTACCACGTGTGGCAGGCGGGTTGCCAAATGCAGTTTTTATTGTTATTCAGTTGTATTTAGTAAGATGCTGCATCCTATCTACTTTAAGGCCGACTTACACTTCGACAAGTATAGTAGCGAGTTTAGTTACATGGCAGTTGACAGTAAATGGTTAAGCGGGTCGTAGCGTTCATGTGTTTTGGTATCTTTTTTTATATTTAGAGACTCGAACACGAAGATGTTATGTCCTGTAAACTTATGCACTTAACCACAAAATAAACAATAGTTACAAGAAACTTAACTAAACTCGCTCGTTTAGACAATCCTCGAGTTTAGTTAGCGGGTAGCGAGTGACGCACGGGAGAGCAACACTTCGAACTTGTTGAACCGAGAAATAGACCGGCTGTTATTCCGTTAAACTAAATTTTTAATTTGCTACTTAACACACTTCTTGCCATTCAAACGATTTTTTTACCCAACTCTCCAGGTTCGCAAGTTACTCGCTACTGTACTTTTGCGAAGTGTAAATCGGCTTTATAGTTTCTCTCTCTCGCCTCTAATGATACCCAATGGGTATGTTATGAGGTAGCGGATTCTTACACCGCCACTACACAGTCAAAATTCTTCAGTTTAGCGAAATTCGTCCCATCATTAAAAACGTGTTTTCTTTTTAAATTTATTATTTTTTCAAGCTGTAGAAATTATTAAAATGAATGTTTTTTCTATAGAAAATGTATTGAGATAGCAGACAATGACGTCTTATATTTTTTGTAATCAAATAAGCTTCATATTGCACAAATAAGGTGCTTACTTCATTATAATCATAAATATTAAAAATCTAATTTAATCGAATATGGAAAACCAAGATTAGATTAGGAAAAACAGGAAAATTAAATTTTTATTAAAGATGGGGTCAACTTTTATGTGTTTAGGATATGATCCACGCAACACCGCCATTTGATGATTATTATTTTATTTATTTTGGGGAAAATATAACAAGATACGGTTACCCGTCGCCACCAATAAAATTGTTAATTGCAATTTTAAGTGCTGATTTACCACGTGCTCTGCGGTGAAGAAAAACATCGTGAGGAAACCTGCATGTCTGATGAATAAGAAAAAAATATATACGTGTGGCACTCGTGGACTGCCGTGGTAAAGCTATTGCATAGCATTTTTATCAACTTATGCAATTATAATTAAAATTATTTATTTATTTTATTTATGCAGTATTTTTTTCTTTGACATTAATTCAAGATACTCTTTTTGATCGTGGTGACCCATAAGAAAACAATTTTTTTTCTTTTATTGAATAAATGAGGAGTTAATATTGTTTAAAATTATTTTATTATCTTACTATAGATGTAGGTTATTCAAGAATTTTTATCATAGGAACTATAGGTTTATGGTAATTAACGAGTTCTTCCGACAAACAATAATTGTCTATAAAGTCTGTGTTTACTAAATACTCTAAATTCACGAAAGTTGCTACGACTCATATAAATCCAAAGAATATTCTTCTTGCTCAGATGAAGTAAAAAAGGTAGATACAGCGCGGCCTTTGTTACTGTTGAAGCCAAAAAACTCCGCTCCCTTATGTAAGCACACGCGTTCACGCACACACGTGCATCAAACTACGCTCATTTTCGCTCAGTACTTCCCGGGGCGTCGTGCAGTAAATTTGCCTACAAAATGCCGTCCCGTGTAGTTAAATGTTACAAAAACAATACTAAAGTGAACAAAAAGTCTGAAGATGAAGTCGTTTCACTCGTAAACACTCATTTAACTATATTTTAATTTGTTATTTCAAGACAATTTTAAAGGTTATTCGAAGCACGATGTCAATGTTTCGAGATTACGTAACGGGAGAATGTTGCCAATATTTCTTATTTCTAATGATCCAAGATATTGGTAATTAATTTTAGGCTAAGTTATAAAGATATATGTAGTCAGCATATTTTTTTTAAATTAGTGGTTATTATATTACTTTACATCAAATTGAAGTCAAGATAAATATTTAATTTTTTAAGTCACTGATGTTTCTGTTTTAATTGTTGAGTACTTTACAAACTATTTTACTATCAAAAAATATTTATGATTTTAGGTCACCAACAAATATTTTAGTAAGACATGAATTATTTACGTGATAGAGCTACGCGGCAGTTATACTATTAGTAGTATAGTTATAGTACGAATGGGTCGGCTCGACCGGGGAAGGACCACGGTCTCACAGAATACCAGCGTAAAATAGCGCTTAGTGCTAATGTTTCGTATGGTGAGTGTAGAGAACCGGAGACCCTTTTTTATGGAAATGAGCCATTCCATCTTAGTCCTCACGGGTGACAACGCATCTGCATTTTGATTCGTAATTAAGGATATATACAGATGTCTATTTGCCACAGTAAACACTTACCATCATGTGGATTGTATGCTCGTTTGTTTCCCTATCCTTTAAAAAAATGAAGTGTAGCTGCTATAAGACTGAGCCAAAATGGCAGCCGTCCTCTTGACTTGACAGTAGTAGAGTCACGCAGCGGCTATTGATATCGCATGAACAGGCCAGCTTGAACCGGGGTGGTACCACGACTTCACAGAATACCTACGTGAAGTAGAGGTTTACCTCTGCGTTTCACTTGGGCTGGAGGTCCAATTCCCCTTCCTCCTTAACATCGTAGCGGAATCAAATAAAAACTACCCCAAGAGGGTACCCTTACTCCTGGTGACGGAGAATCCATCGCTGAGCATGCACGACCAAGCTTCTTTACTCTTCCTGAGCGTAGGTGCTTAGGCTGCTCCGCGTATTCTGGGGGAGAGGGGGGAATTCTGCTCGTTATTTTGCATTTACTAAAATATACTTTTTTTTCATTTAGAAAAGTATATTTTTAATTGCATGAAAATTTATTTCTTATTCCAACTAGTTTTTTTAGTTTTAAGTTATTATTTATAATAAACATGTTTACATTACATATTTTGTATATTTTATCGATGATTACATGCTCACTGGATAATCTATCAAGAAGATTTTTAAATGATCTACAGACGCCTCCTACATGCTTCATCTTTTTTTTGAATTGTCAAATTGTTGAAATTTATTAAAATAGACAGATATAATTTTGCATTCGCATCGCATATTACTCTTATAGTTGTAATATTGTATCTCGATTTTCAGGGACTTTTAAAAAAAAAGTGGCAACACTTCTCTGACTCACACAAAGTTATAAAATTGGTTACAGTTTCTTGTACTAGGTGCGATATCTACCTTTTTTACTTCATCTGAGGCTTCTTGCAATAAACTATATTATTGTTTAAAATATTTTTATTATCTTACAATACATGCAACTAGTCTACACGCATACGTCTAGTAGTACGCACACAAACACCGTGCCGAAGTCTGCCAAACTTAAACGACGTTAGACGATGTTGTGATGTGGTTTTAGGGTCTTAGGTTTTTTTCGTTACGGAATTTTTTAATTCGGTCGATAAAAGCTATGCAATTCGGTAAAAGCTATGCAATAGCTTAAAATATTTCGAAGACATGTGAAGTTCGCCAACATGCATTGGGGCAGTGCGGCGGACACTTACTTGCTTAAGGGCAACCCTCTCAGAAGTGAGGGGAGGTCTGTGCCCAGCAGTGGGACGTATATAGGCTGTAACTTTACGGTTACAATATAAATTTAATAACAATTAAAATTAAAATTGAAATAGTTTAAATATTTTATTAAATAATGTAATGTTTTTATAAAAAAGTTTAGATTGAACAATCAAATCAATAGCAAACTTTTTTCTCCATCTAAACCTCTTTTCTATTTCTCATTTTATCTTTTTCCCTCTATAGCCGACATATATAATGTTTCTCCAGCTCTACCTGCTCAAAGTTCTAAATCTTTACAAAGTTTTTACAAAAAGGGTTATCATCATCATCATCATCATCTTCATCATTGCAGCCTTTCACAAGTCCACTGGTGAACATAGGCCTCCTCCAAGGTATGCCACAAAGTATGGTCCTGGGCCACTTCTATCCATCGACTTCCTGCATATCTTACCAGGTCGCCACTTCATCTGGGGTTATTATAATAATATTTATATTTGTTATTATCATAATATAAAGGAATTTATGGATGATAATATTCCCTGGGAGTGAAGTGATCGCTACCAAGCTATTTCTAATTTGTTTGGTGCTGATGGTGTAAAAAACATGATTGTAAGCCGTTTTCTTTTTTAAAGTCCCGCTGGGTTTTTTTTGCTGGTTCTTCCCAGGAAAGAAGTTTTTTTCCGAACCAGTGGTATTTAAACAAAGTAATGACTTTCAATAAGTATTATTTATAATATATAATGATAAAAAAGTTTCTTCTTATGTTTGTCGGCTAATAAGATTCATATAGTATTTTAAATGCTATGGACATTGATATGAATGACAAGACATGGCCGTGCGAACAAAAATTGTTCACGGTTTAAGCGTAGAATAAATTAGCGCCATCATTTATATACCCATGAACTACCACGGAACCAGTGTTTTGGTTTTACCCTAGAACCTGTAGAAATACTTCCTAATTATAGTAAGAAAATCAAAATAGCCTTATCTATTGCACCTAATTTTCAATATTTTAAAGACTAACATCATTGCAAGATTTTAATATTATTTCACGATTAAAAATCTTGAGTTTTGTGATGAAGAAGACGTTCTTATGTTCAAATTGTAATAACACTAATCTCATATGAATAACGAATATGTAACAAAGTAAAAATATACCATTATTCTATTCTCTTTATTATATTCTTTATTAAAGAAAAACTTTTCATTCTACACTTTTCTAGCTCATCATACATGAAGTTCGGTTTTACCCCAAATTATCCAAAACTCTGTCAACTTGAAGAACATCTAAAGCCCACGTATAGTAGTAGATTTACCGTAAAATTGTGCAAAATATCTAAAAGTTGAAACACTGCACGGATGTACTGCACGCATTGGAGGTCGCATTGGTACTCCATAATCATTTTAGCACCAATCAGTCGGTGCCACTTTGTTTGTTAAATGACCCGATCCATTCGCAGTTGTATAATAAATCTATGGCTATGAAGCTAACTTCAGTTAGCAAGGTGTATCCCGCTACCTAACGTACTAAGTTCTTGCGGTTAACAAACAAAATGTCAGTGTAGTAATTTTAAAGCGTCGAAACTAAACCACACAGAGTATATATTATAAAGTAGTCCCACGTGTGTTAAATAGTGTCGACACACAACCTAGTGCGGGTTTCTAGTCCTTTCGCGGTTTTCATACTATTTAGTATAAAAAGCATTTGCTTTACAGGAGTGAAAATGACGAACGAAGCGCCAAAAGGTCTCAAGAACAACATGTATCGTTCGTATACGTCGGACCCGATCTGCGAGCCGGAGTTCTACATATCATGTCCGCGTACCGAAGAGTGGAGGCGGCTATTGTTCGCGTTGTGTTTCTTCCACGCTCTGGTGCAGGAGAGACGCGCGTTTGGACCGCTCGGCTGGAACATATCCTACGAGTTCAACGAGAGCGACCTCAGGATCTGCGTCATGCAGCTGCAGGTAAGATATTATGGATAATGGGCACGAAAGCAGCCGGACGTCTGCTACTGCGATCATAAGAGATAGTTATGACTTCATTCCTACAATGAGTACAGTAGTGGACTTTTAAAGGCTTTTGAAGTAGAACGCATTGTCCCCAGGCCAATCGATCAATGACTGTCTCAACTACGGAATAATTTGAAGCCATTAGTTGCGCTGGATATGTCATAGTGCTCGTAGTGCCACTAGTGTTCACGCGAACAAAGAGACGCTCACTCGCTAACACGACGGCAGATATTGTGCGCAAGAATTATACCAAATTAACAAATAACTTTGTTTCTCCCTCACCTTTCCATCATCGGACAACCAGATGCTCGGTGGTTCTTTAAGCAGATTTTTTTTTTAATTTATTTTATTATTAGTAGTACTACTAAAAATAAATAATATACACAATGTTACGGAAATTATATAAAATAAAACAATAAATAAAAATAAAATAAATCAATAAATAATAATAATAATAAATACGATAGTTACATATGATATATATATACATACATACATATATATACATATATATATATATATATATATATATACATATATACACATATATATATAAACTAAAACTAATATTATATATATATATATATATATAATATATAAATTAACAGGATGCAAAGTAGTTATCTCTAAGACGTTTCTTGAATATCAACAAAGTTTCGGAATTTCTTATATTTGACGGTAGTGAGTTCCAAAATCTTACCGCGTGAACTGAAAAGGAGTGGGAGTAAAAACCGGAATTAAAGACGGGAAAGTCAAGAAGATTTTTAACAGGGGATCTGCATGGTTTGTCCGGAGGATGGGTGAAGGAAAATCGGCTTCTGAGGTATGTGGGAGAGGAAGGGTTGTGCAAAATGTTATAGAGGACACATAACAATCGAGTGTTCCTTCGAAGTCGAATTGGAAGCCACTTGAGTTGCTTACGAAACTGAGATATACGGTCAAATTTCTTGAGCCCAAATATGAAACGGATACACTGATTTTGCAAGCGCTCAAGTTTATTAAGAAGCTCCTCTGTAGCATCCAAATAACAGGCATCCGCATAATCAAGGAGAGGTAGGATAAGAGTAAGCACGAGTGATATTTTAGCTTTAAGGGGTAAGAAATTTTGTAGACATTTAAGCGAATGCAAAGTAAAGTAGACCTTGCGACTAACTTCAGCGATATGCGTGGTCCATGTTAAATGGTGATCAAATATGACGCCTAAGTTTTTGACAGTATTGGCAAAGGGTATAGGAACGCCATTAAAACAAACAAAATGTAGTGATGTAAATTCTAATCTATTACGCAAATGCCTACTGCCTATTATGATGGCCTGAGATTTCGTGGGATTAACTAATAGTCCGAAGGATGCAGACCATTCACAGATGCGGCCCAGATCCGCATTCATAGCTACAATTGCATTACTTGTATCACCCACCGGAAAATGACGATAAAGCTGTAAGTCATCCGCGTAGAGATGGTAATTAGATTTAATAACACTCGTAATAGAGTTAATAAATATGGAAAATAAAAGGGGGAAAGAACGCCACCCTGAGGTGCACCCGTAGTGATACCCGACCAATCGGAAAGAGTGTCATTAACACGGACACAATGTGATCGACCACGAAGATATGAATCAAACCATACGATGGCAGATGGGGAAATGTTTATAGATTCCAGGATCCGGAGAAGAATATCAAAGTCTACTGAGGTAAAAGCACTACTAAAGTCAAGCAAAACTAAAAGTGTAAGAGATTTATTGTCCATGGCCCAACGGATATCATCGGTTACTTTAAGTAAAGCAGTGACAGTGCTGTGTCCACGACGAAAGCCCGACTGATAAGTGGAGAGCAAGGAGTTAGACGATAAGAAGAGAGAGAGTTGACTATGGATGATGTGTTCCAAAACTTTAGAAAGAAAGGGTAAAATAGATATGGGACGAAAGTGGGACAAAGAAGAAGGATTAGAAACCTTAGGCAGAGGAATTATATATGCTTGTTTCCAAACTGAAGGAAAAGATGATGACGATATAGAAAAATTAAATATGTGAGTAAGAATTGGTAGAAGTAAAGGTAGAACTAGCAAAATCATCTTCGCACACAGACCATCAATACCAACAGCATTTGAAGAGATGGCTAGGATGGATTTTTTGACATCTTCCTCCGTTACAAGGGAAAGATGAAAAGGGCAAAGGTGCGGTTTTGGTATACCCGCCAATGCGAGTAGTGTGTTGGATTTGATGTAAGGATCTAAAGTCATAGGAGGAGTAGCAAAGTGATTGTTTAGATCCTTTACTTTAACGTCATTGTATTCTAGGATCGGAGACCTGCCCACACCAACAGAACGAAGGAACTTCCACATCTCAGTAGAATTTTTATTGTGTAGAGAGTTGTAAAAGTAGCGTCTTTTAGCATACCGACACAAGCGACTGCAGCGGTTGCGTAAAAATTTAAAACGATTTAAGTTCTTTTCAGATGGGAGACGTTTAAACCTTTGCTTAGCTTTGTCCCTCTCGCCCATAAGTTCTTTTATATCTTGTGTAATCCAAGGTGCAGGATTACGCTTTATTTTTACGCGTTTGAGCGGGGCATGGTTATTGTATACCTTCAAAATTATATCATTAAAGTTACAAACCTTCTCATTAATATTAGTATTGTCAACAATAGGTGTCCAATCAACATTACTTATATCATGCTGCAATGACTCCAGATCTATTGCCTTGTAATTACGAAGGAACAAGGATTGGGATTTCTTTTTAGGTGGACAGAGACGATAAGAGAGGTAGATTAAATCATGATATGAAAAAGAGGCAGTTATTTGTCCATGAGACATGACACTATCAGTAGAAGAAACGATCATAATATCAAGCAAAGAAGGGTTACAGTTAGGGAAGTGGTGAGTTGCCTGAAGGGGGAGAGTGAGAAGATTGAAGGAAGATACCAAATTCAGAAGTTTTTGGGAGCGAGAATCATTTTTGATAAGACAGGTGTTGAAATCTCCCATTAGAATAATATGATCGTAAGTAGTACTAAAATCAACAAGGATTTTTTTCAAGCGTATCAAAGTAATCTATGTGCATGTTAGGACTGTAAAATACCGCCAGCAACATTTTTACATGATTGAGAGTTACTTCTATGAAGAGACATTCAGCAGATTGATAGTAAATAGAAGGAGAGGCACATATGGTCTTATAAAATATATCCGAACGCAGGTATATAGCTACCCCACCACAACCTTTTCCTATACGATCATTACGAATAAGGACAAAACCAGGTAAGGCAAACTGTGTAGAGGGGAGTGATGGCTTGAGAAATGACTCAGAAATTAGTAAAGCATCGAGATGTGCACTGTTAATTGATGCTAGAAGATCAGGATAATGGCGAGGAACACTCTGGATGTTAATGTGTGCAACATTAAAGTTGTTAGGAAATTTAGAGCGCAGGAATGAAATCTGGTCATACAAAGTTAAAGGTAACTCACTATCCGCACTTGTAAAACTACATGAAGATGAAGAGCATGAGAAGAAACTGTCATCAAAAACATCAAGATTATCCATTTAGCAAATAAATTAAGATAATATAATAATGTATAGTAATATAACAATAATATAATATGATATGTAAATACAATATATATGTATATATTTATAAATATCAATTTAGCAATTATTTAATTTAAAATAAAACAAAACTTAGGTATAATCTAATACAAACGGAACAGAAAAAAAAATAAAAAACATCTAAAATCACCAAGCACAGAACTGTCATGAAATACTGAAGAAAAAAAATCTTATGGGAGTATAATTTATACATAAGATTCGATTAAAAAAAAAGAAGTTTAAAATGTTATGATATGAACATATCTTATAATTATATACATATTAAATATTAATAAAAATATTGAAAACATATTAATAAAAATATTGAAAAACACTATTACATATTACTGCAAAGCAGAATAAATAATACATTTTCCCAAGCTACAACTTGACAGTATCACAGTGGCCAAAGGGCCGTGCGTCACAACTAAGAGAAAAAGTAAATAAAAAAAAATGCATAATAGTCGTAGACAGAGAATCCTAATAGTCATCTCAAAACTCACGAGCGTCAATTCCACAGAACACTATTACTCCTATCGGAGGTCAATTCAATGTGAATCACAGACTAGTATGATGCTTACGCAAATGTGAATGATAAAATGGACATTTTGATAACTACTGTGTGTAATTAAATGCTTATCTTATTATAAAAGTACCAGCTGGAAAAATGTATCATTATTACAGAAATATAAAGTAATTATAAAACAGTATTACAAAGTGGTTGTAAAGCGGCTAACAAAAACAAACAAAAAAAATGATTATTCTATGTACCTATATTTTCTGAAAGAAAACAACGAAACTAGGGATTAGTTGCGGCGACGAGCCTTCCGTGGAGCATTAGTAGTCAATCTGGACGCAACTTCCTTTGGAGAAGTGGGTTCCTTAGACTGACCAGGGTCTTTGACCGTACTACACTTGTCGGGATATCGGCAAATAAGGGATTTTAGTTCTGCCATAGACTCAATCCTCTGACGTGATTTGTCCGGCAAAATAATAACTATTTTTCCTTCTACGGACCAGCAGTTCTTAATCCCGAAATGTTTACGAGCTGTCATAAATACTTTGTGCCTTGTCTTAGTCAAAAACTCGGAAATCGTGATACCTGAACCTTTTAGTGAAGTTTTGTTATCCCAGACAAGACGACGACTCTCCAGACTACCAAATTTAACAAGCACTGGACGTGTTGAGGCTTGAGAAGATCCAAGACGATGGCATACTTGTATATCCTCGACTTTCAAATCGGTCACCTTCATTTGGTCGGAAAACAGCTTATATACCGATTCATGCAACTTCTCATTCTGTCTTTCAGAAAAACCATGGATAAGCAGTATTTTTCTTCTCATTGCTGTTTCATGTTTGTCAATATTGTATGTAACTAAGTCCAATTGTTTTCTGATCAGCGATAGCGATTGACAAACAAAGGATTTGAAATCGTTGAAGTCCTTGGACAGTGAAGAAATGTCTGGGTGAACTGGCGAGGAAACAGCTGAGGCTTTTAAAAGCTTATCTTCATACTCACGCATGCGAGAAGCAAATAATTTTTCTAGTTCATCAAGATTATTTACAAGCTGTGGGTCCATATTAGAGTGTTATGCAAAACTGTGCTTTAGCAATAAAAAAGATAGAAGTTGTTAAGAACAGCACGTGTTGGTAGACTTTAGCAGTGTTTTAACACATTTATTTAGAAAGAACAAATACTTTAAATAATTTAACAACAATAAATATAATTAGCACACTGAGTTTGCGTGTTTACTTTGCGACTACCCGCAAAAAAATACACTTTGATACGTGTACAGACATTTAATACGTGTGTTTACCACAAGTAAAGCCCGCTCGAATTTGTAAATTGCAAAAACTGTAATAAGAATTACGTACCTACTAGAGAAGACGCCGATACTTGGTGTTTTGCAACACACGTTAGAGCCATTGATAAAACTGTACCTACTATTCTGTGCCTCCTTCCAGGCGCCACGCTCTTCCTCACAGACTTTATTCACTGTGTTCGTTCTGATACGTACTATATTATATTACTTCCATGTTTACAAACGGTAATATTGAATCTTCAGATGTTCTTAACCGACTACGCGGAGACACCGTTTGAGGCGCTAAACTACCTCGCGGGCGAGTGCAACTACGGCGGCCGAGTCACCGACGACAAGGACCGCAGGCTCATTCTCTCGCTGCTCTCTATTTTCTACAACGAAGAGGTCATTACAGATCCGAAGTAAGTTCTCAGGTGTTTCTTAATTTAATAAGATCTGGAGAAGTTTTAGTCAGTGCGAGTCTAACATCCTTGCATTAATGAAATGGTTAAAATGAAACAAACGTTAACGTGATAATACAACCTTTCATCCCTTAAAGCGAATGAACGCTCAATAGGATTGATTTACTGAGAATGAAAAGTCTAATATTATCTTAACAATGAAATCTTCCACACACCAGCTACTCATTCTCCCCGAGCGGCAACTACAGAATCCCTCCGAGCATGGATTACAACTCCGTTCTAGAACACATCAAGGCTCTGCCCATGATTGCGAAGCCCGAGGTTTTTGGTCTGCACGAGAACGCCGACATCACGAAAGACAACAAAGAGACTGCAGCGGTGAGTTTATAAAATTACGAAGTTCATTTTTTACATTTCATTTTTGGGTGCATACTTTCTTGTACCTTGTAAAAATAATACAAAATAAAATCTATTAAAGTAATAGTAGAAGTAACAGAAGTTTTTCTTGAATTGCCTATTATGTAACAGGAGATAAAAACTGTCCTGAGGAATGAACACAAATAGTGCATAATCGCGAACTAATGAGGTCTAATAATCTAATGGCTTGGCCAAACTATGCTCCTCGCGCTGCTCATTGCTCTGCTCCTCGCGCTGCCACGATGTTTATACACTGCTCAACTCTCTGTCCATACACTGCTCTACTCGCGTAATCAATCGTGACGCTTTGCACTAGGCCACTCACGTTTGCAACACAATGGACGTTGAAACTATTGCAGTGTGTGCAATCCATGCATATTTATTATAGCTAATGACATAAAAAAGGAAATACACGTTTTCGTCATCGAGATAGCTTCTTCTCTGTATACTACTTACTCATGTGATATGGCTGAATGCTGATGATGATAGTTACACTATTTATGATTTTAAATGACGCGTGACGTTCTTCCGTAACGAGCGCTCATTTCGGACTACGTTTACGCGAGTGTGTGGCCAGCCACTCCGGTTCATGTTGCCAGTCCTTTGACTCGCCCCCAAAAAACCGACAAAACAGGGGGCGATGGGCATGATGAGGATCATGTCGTATATTGTGGCCACACTACGTCTCTGCCTCCTTTCCTCGCTACTTCTCATGCCACTCGATGAGTGTGCTAATTAGAACTTGCAGATGTCGCTAATTAGGTATGAGGTTATAAGTTACACACTATATCATTATAATGGAGAATTAGCAAATACACAAAACAATGCCCCAGTGATTTGCTCTTTAAGTTCGCTCTCTTTTTAGTTTTCTACTTTTAAGAATAACCGTAGTTGGGTTTACCCATTTTTATTTTATTTAGTTTCTAATCTAATTAATATAAAAATAAGTAATATTTCACAAAGAAAAACAATAATTTCTACACTTTTCTAACAAATTTACTTCCTCAGCCGTTTTTAGTATAATATCACCAATTTGGTCGACAAACTTCCGCCTAGGACGTCCCTTTCCGACTCTTCCATTCACTTCTGCAACATATATTTGCTTTGTCAGTCTTTCCTCATTCATTCTTTCTACATGACCAAACCACCGCAGCATTCCTTTCTTAATGCTGGTCACCGCATCATCTTGCAAACCACACTCTTCTTTCATCACACAGTTTCTCACCCTGTCACTCAGAGTCAGCCCTAACATACTCCTTAGCGACCGCATTTCTACTGCATTTATTCTACTCTCGTGCTTCTTCTGCCACACCCAACTTTCACTACCATACGTTAAAGTAGGGACTAATACAGCATTGTGAATTGCCATACGTGCCTTTTTTGACACATTCTGACTTTTAACAATAGTCAGAATGTGTCAAAAAAGGCCATTATTTTCACTGTAAAAATAAATTACTTAAACTATCGACGTCCTGAAGTTTGGAATTGGGAGGCAGAAAACAAATTTCAGGACGCCGATAGTTTAGGTAATTTCCTTTTTCAGTGAAAATAATGGTAATTAAAAAAAATTAAAAACATAAGCCCTGCTTTATAGTTAATTCGGTTAGTATGCAAAGTTTTATGATCTTATTTAAAGTATTTTATGAATAACAGCGGTTTATCGTTCAGTTTGTAGGTATCTTTGGATTTTTTTTCTATCGAGAAAGTTTTACGGAATCATGTTTTCGTCTAACATAGTACTTAGCATTAATCCTCAACTTTACTATACATTTATTTCAAAATTAATGCTGCAATATTTTCGTCATAACGGAGGATCTTGCTAAGCCATTTGAGGTTATATTCCCCCTTAACATGGAGCTTCTCGCTTGGCGTGTGGTTTAACGAACGTTATATTAGACTATCTTGGACCCTGTTTCCCATCGCCAATATTTTACGGGTGGCATAAAATATCCAGAACGGCACTCATCATCATCGTTACATTACAAACCATCACAAGCTCACTGCCTAATATAGACCACTCCCACGTGACAAAGCACGATTTTGAGACACCTTCATCCATCAATTTCCTGCATCTATTACGATCTCTCTATAAGAAAATAGTAAATTGATGGTGATCTGATCAGTAGGCTGATTGTGCAATTCCCATTTTATAAAATATATGAATAGTCAACTTACCTGTAAGGCCAGTAACAACATGAAGAGTGAAAAGACTTAAGGTTTCTTTACTAAAATATTTAATAACGCATTTTTTTAACCAATGGAACATTGGATCAATGGTTTTTATAAAGACTTTTTTAAAATTTTGAATCGATCGAAACTATTCGGTTATTTTAGGTCATCGTATAAATACATACCTAAGGACATAGCTACAATTTAGCAGAGACCATACCAACACCAGCATATTAGACAATTAGCAGAGAGTTTACATGTGTTTGAGCACACACTCGTGCATTATAATCCTACCAAGATAAGTAAAGAGTAAGTCTTCTTTGAGACTAGCCGCTACTCGTATGATCGAAACCGAATCCATCTGGAGACACGTTATATACTCATATAATTTTAGTGTTTTAGATAACTAGTGACAATATCAAATTGTATCAAGTGAGAGTATCGAACGCGCCAACAGCTGCTGTTCGGGTGCCTGCTGACGCAGACGTGGTTGGCGGGCGCGGGTGGTGTTGGTGGGGAGGGCGGGGAGGCGCGCGGTGTGAGCGAGCTGACGCGCGAGCTGCTCGCGCGCCTGCCGCCTCCTTACGATGTGTTCATGGTCTCGCGCCGCTACCCCGTGCAGTACTACAACAGTATGAACACCGTGCTCAAGCAGGTCAGCGGCCGATACACCTCGCACGATAGGCTTTGTAGTAAGGGGCAACGTTTTGCCGGACTCCTACTGGCTAAAACCCTACGATTATCTCCGTCAGCGTATACGACTCCTTGCTTTATTTGGCACACAGTCTTAGGCCCTTCGTCCATTACAATACTTATGGGTGACTAGTACCCTACACGAGTTTTACTGCGCGATAGAGCCATGCTGCAACTATATTATGGTTGAAGCATGAATATATCTGCTCGAAAGAGAAAGACTACGCTCGCACCGAATTTCAGCACGAAATAGCAGCCTAATGCCGCTGCGCTTCTTATGGTGAGTGTACAGAATCGGAGACGCCTCTGGCGAATGCTACACGCGTGATATTTATCACGATCTGGGACGCGATCTGGAATGATGTATCGCGATCCATATCGACATACCCTAAAAATTCATTACGGATTACGTCAGTATTGAGCACAAAACTGTTAAGTGCAGACATATCTAAAATGGACCGAAATGAAGAATAAAACTTATGTGGCTATCATTATGACAATAATATTAAAAAGGATATATTTTTGTATACGTGGTAGAGACACGCTGCAGCTATAATATGGTTGTATCACGAATGGGTCGGCTCGACCAAGAAACGATGACGCTCTCACAGAATACCAGCGTATAACAGCAGTTTAATACTGCTGTGTTTCATATGGTGAGTGTAGAGATTCGGAGACTTTTTTTACTGGAAACGAGGCATTCCGTCTTAGTCCTCAGGGGTGACAACGCATCTGCATTTTGAATTTTAATCGAGGATAAATGTAGATGTCTATATGCGTATTGTCCGTATCGCGATCCATCAATACTTGATACTAAACGTTCAATAAATATCATGATCCTGGACCGCGATCCAAGGATCGTGATAAATATCACACGTGTAGCATTCGCCTCAGAGGTGACAACGCATTCTTGTATAGAGAGAAAAGATTAGATGTAGCAACCACTTACCACGATTGTTCGTCACCCAGTGGCGAAGCTAGAGCTCCAAGCTAGGGCAAGCCCAAGATATAAATTGATAAAAATATAGATTGTTGTTTTTAGCAGTTTTATAAAAATACACCAATCTTGATCTGTCTCCACGCTTCAGTTTCATATTCAGTGCTGTCAAGGACGTGTTTAACAAAGCACACAGAAGGAATACCACTGCTAGATAGATTGTATTACATATCAGCAATTGCATAGCTTCGGTGGCTTTGAAGAAAGCCGTTTGGGTTTGTTTAAGCGAAAGAAAAAAAATATTTACATCCAATACAATACATGAACAAAAGTAAAACACGAACAAAGTACAAACTATGTAAAAAAAAATTATTTACATTCTAATGGATAAGAGATAAGTGGAATCGTCTCGCTTTCTTATGGAAAGATTTAATTACGTCCACGTAAAATGTTGGTGAACGCGTTTTAATTGTACCAATAACTGTTTTTAATTGCGATAATTGATAAGTCTGAAATACACTCTTAACCTTGTGTATTATCTCAACAAAGTTTAAAAATTTCCTCTCCGATTATCACTTTAACACACTTCAATTCATCACAAGGAACACTATTATCCTCCATTTTCATTAAAATCTTTAAAAAAGCATAAATTTTGAACTCGTAATATTAAATCGCTTAAGATAAGCACACAGAGTAAATAAACATTGAAACGTGAAATGAACTTGCAAACGTATTGCCCGCGCGCCTCCGCTTTTAACAAATTTATTCCCAAAAGCCTGGCTTTAAATCTCTATACTAATTGCTATATATACAATCGTAGTTATATTTCATTATAGAATATTTTGCCATAGGTTAGAAAGAGAGCGATCGTCTTCTCGAAAGCCCCGTAAAAAAGCCCACGCGAGCGAGGGAGACAACTATTAGCTCTATTAAAACTCATTTTTTATGACAGCATATCGCTAAGGCAATACGAGGTCATCGGTCGACATGTGTCGAACAGTGGAGTGCGCGGGAAATTTGAAATAGCTTGAAACATTTACGAGTTATTTTATTAGTTGATATTATTGATTGATTCAGGTTTAATAAGGCAAGCCCGGCTTTTCGGCTTTAATGGAAGCTTCGCCACTGTCGTCACCTTTATCCCCTAAAAAAAAAGTATGTGATAAATAACATACTTGGATGTATTTTACATGCAGTGTTCGTGCTAAGCAATCAGTTATTGAGTTTGCCGTCAATAAATTCTCTGTAGCAGTCTGGAGTCGGAGAGGCGAAAGTCAAACGTATCGGATTGCCGTCCGATCGGACTATGAGAGTGAGGGAACAGACAGTGCACCTGTGTTTGTGCACTATCATCCAGTCCTGCGCAATTAGCCAGTTTTTGTGGAGACTGACCACCGAGGTTGAAATTTTTTCTGGATGCTATTATTATAAATGATCAGTGACCCACTGCGGCTTCGCCTGGTTGTGATATATTAATGTGGAGTCATTTAGATTATAGATATTATATATTTTTTTTCTTAAAAAACAGACAAGGTTTTGTACTCCTGTCATTACTTTATATCAGCCCGTGAAGTTTCATCGCAATCGATTCGGTCATTCCGAAAATTAGCCAGAGCAGACAGACGGACAAATTATTTATATATATAGATGACATAAAATAAGCATGCGATGCAATTATGTATGTACTTTGTATACTCAAGAGAAGATGTTTCTCTCTCTTTCTTTCCACACATTAAACATCATCTCATGTACTCACCGAATATAGTCAACGAACTAAAAATTAGGGAAGGCACGGTTTCTTGAGATACAGGTGATAACCTAATTCAGGAGACAGAGCTCTCTTGTATTAAAACATATTTGGTTGCTAATAAACGTTATTTTATTTCTTCTGGATTATAATATGTTATAAGTTGTGATTATTGATTAACAGGAGTTGATTCGCTACAACCGACTGCTTGCGGTTGTGTCGCGAACACTTCACGGCGTGAACCTGGCAGCACAGGGGCTGGCCATCATGAGCGCTGAGCTGGAGGCGTGCGCGGACTCTTTCCTCAAAGGGCTGGTGCCTAACGCCTGGATGGCCAAGTCGTACCCCTCTATGAAGCCGCTGGGCTCGTACATGACTGATTTCCTTGCGAGGTTGGTGTTATAGTTAGAAATCCATGGAGACATAGCCCGAACGTCTAAGACTCCGGGTTAACGTATAAATAGACCTTAAGTCGTTGATTAATGACATAAGTGAGTTGCGCCCGTATTGTCATCATTACATCGCTTCACTGTTAAGCCTATGCTCAGTAATGTTCATTGATGACCATAGGCCTTACCCAAGAAATAGCACAAAAACGGTACTAAGCCACTGGCATTCACCGCCCCCAAGTTCGTGTTACCAGGACGTCATTCCATTGGAGAGCCGATCCACACTCACCGGTACAGGGTTGTCACTCTAGAAGCTTTCTTCCCCATGTTGTCGATCCGTCAAGCTATATGTCTGCTCCATTGCCACATCAATTTATCTATCTGATGTGATTTCGGTTACTCTGGTTTTACTGTGGATACCATTGTCACGTGCTTAGTCTTCTCCTTGCCGAGTGATGTTAGGATATTAATTACTAAATACAGTATCCTAAAGTAACAATGGAATAAAAAAGGAGCCGTAGCTAGGTAGCTCAGATGGTTAGCGCTCGCTGTAAATTTCACAGTACGCGAGCAAATCAGGTAACCCGGGTTCGATCCCCGCCGTCAACAATGAAATTGTTTTTTTTTCAATTTTAAGTGCTGATTTACCACGTACTCGGCGGTGAAGGAAAACATCGTGAGGAAAACTGCATGTCTGAGAAATAAATAAAAAATATTTTCGAACACATGTGAAGTTCGCCAACACGCATTGGGGCAGCGCGGCGGACAATTCCTAAAACCCCTCTCAGAAATGAGCGGGAGGCCTGTGTCCAGGAGTGGGACGTATATAGGCCTTTAACTAACTATAAAGCATCAATGGACAGGCCAAATGCCTCGTAGATTCGATAAGTCTGGGAAAAGCATTGTTACTGGTATGCGTCAACCCTCATATGAGACTACTCAGATAAGGCGACAATCTGTCAAAGTGTGCAAGAAGGCGGTAGAATACTGGACAGGAGAACAACACTTCAACTAATAGGCAATGTTAATATTGCAGAAACAAATATGTAATTACTTTTTTAAATATATTACCTTTTAGGATCATTTTTAGTAGTTACGAGATTTTCACAATATGTGAAATGTAATTACTTGTTTATAACAATTCATTTATAAGGTTGTAAGGGCAAGCTTTCTGAAAAACCCACCTTAAACCAGGAATACAGCAGTGGCTCCAACAAACTCTTAAGGCTCTTTCATCTGTGTTAAACCAAGCCTGACGAACTTTTGGGTAGAACAGGCCGTGACGTACTAAGCTATAGTCCTCAGGGGTGCAAAGCATTTCTAAAGATCGTTGCATCGTCTATGGGCTGTATTAACCACTTACGCGTACCATTAGATGGACTGTTAGCTCATTGGTCACCTATTAATTTATAATAATTGGGGTAAAGAAAAATAAAAAGAAATACAATAAAACAGCTTTATTATACAGTACGCTAATATAAACAAATAGGTACTGATGAATTGAGTAAAAGGCACTACAGGAATATGTTTAATTAAAACAAATAATAACAGTTGCACACTTTCTACTGGCATCTCTACTTTTTCAACTCTTATGTTATCTATGTAGTCTTGTATTACATTTAGCAGTGAGAAATTAGCATATAATTTGTACTTGATGTTGTACCAACAAAATATAACCATACACAAAGGTTGAAAGTTGAAAAATAGTTAGGTAATATCAAAAAGAAATCTATTATATAATATTTATGGTATGGTGAAGCATAAATTATGTTATAGGAATATATTATGGTTGTATAGGAATACAAGTAAATAATGTCAAAATTTCTTGAAGGTAAATAAAATCTTTTTCGGTATGTGGTAGTCCAATCGTTACAATTGGGCAGGTCGTAATCAGGCTGGGCATTTCTTGATATGCCGCCATTTCATTATTTGGCCGATGCTTTATCCGCCTTAGCACTTTGTGTCTAATTTACATTATAGTATAATATAGCCCACCAGCTTTAACCGCACTTTAACTTACTGTCGCGGAAATTACTAGATATTTAATAATAAATAAATAATACCTTAATAATCCTCGATAACACCCGCATCGTCCGCCGGTTTCTCTGCCTTCTTCCTAACCCTAGACAGTTTGGTCTCCCCTGCCGATAGAGCTTCCATCTGGTCGGGTTTTTATTTATTTTATTGATATTTATGTATATTTATTATTGTCATTTATATATTTATAAAGCCCAACAAGACGAGAAAACTATATAAATATCCCAATATAATAATAAATATTTTTATTTCTCAATAATTACTTATACATGTTTTTGAGACGCCTCGGAGAGTAATTTGCATACTCGTATTGGGGAAATATATATTTGCTTTCTTATTTTTAATATATTAACAGAAATCAAAGATATTAACTATCGGCCAAAACATGAATTGGCGACATCATGAAGTGCCCAGACAGATTACGATCTGCCCAATCCTAACGGTCGATCTGCGACATGTATATTATAAAATAATAAAATCTAATTCAACTAAAAAAATAAAATTAACTACGATTTCACACACTGCACTACTTTAGTTTAATTAAAATTATACAAATAATTTATTATAGTAGATGTTAACTTCCCAATTGCACAATTAAATAAAAACCGGTACATACCTTAGTTGTAATTAAAATTACCTAACAGCTTTACATATAGATGTTTTTCTATCGTCATTTAGTATAAAGCATTTTATTAAGTCGAATTTGACTTTTGTGATTGCGGCCGTAAACATTTGAAGTAATAATTTAAGTTTAGCAAGTAACCTAACAACGAAATGCACACAATAGTATAAATTAAATCCATTAATATAGTTTCATGTAAGTTTAGTGTTCGCGTAAATAAAATAAATATTACTTTTATTTGAAGGTTTCTGTAAAAGTACTTTCTAAAACATGTAAAAGTAAGTTCTCTAAAAGTACTTGATACCAGAGTATTATCTATCGTGGCCGTGTCATGACAAAAGATTTTCGACACCTGTTTGTTCTATGAATTGTTTGTTTTATGTAACTTAACTAATTAAACAAAATAAAACTGTATGGCCTCCTAAGGTGCGACATGTCTACGTTTGCGATCTAACATCTTGCGTATATATATATATATATATATATATATATATATATATATATATATATATATATATATATATATATATATATATATATTTATATGGATGATAATAACTCCTGCGAACTTATATAATTGAAAACCGTTATTTTTTGAGAAAAAATGTCCCGTTGGGTTTCTTGCTGGTTCTTCCCAGGACAGAGGTAATTTCCGAACACTTTCAATAAGTATTATTTATAATATATATTGAAGAAAAAGTTTCTATTTCTTTGTCCGATAATAGACATACGAACTAAACGTATTAAAAACCTAATAACGCATCTTATTCATTTAATATCTACTTCTGCTTCAACCCGCAAAAGTAAATGTCTGGACATGGTCTCTCCCGTTGTAAGGAGCATTCACTTAAATCATTAGCAGGAGATCGGAACGATTGGCGATCGAATACCAAACTTGCAGCCTGTAGTCTGTGGTTCCCATTAACTGCGTTATCAGAATCAGTATTCAAGCGTGTAGAATTTTTTTTTCAGAAATCTCGACCATACTTTTTATAATTTAATTATTTTCAAATTGTATGTGGTTTTAATTCCTCTAACTAACACGAGTATCGGTAATGTGGGGTCTTTGACAATCCTCTTACTCCTCAACTAATGCAGAGATAATAAAATCAAATATAATTTGGAAATTATTTTTTTTTAATTAAAATTAGTTTTTTTCAATGTTTTTTTTTAAATATTTCTATACGCTTCAATACTGACTGATAACGCACTTAACGGGAACCACAGGGTTTTTGTTACACGTTGTATATGGTGCAGACTAGAATGGTTACTCCGTCGTCTTTTGAAAGCCATAAGATCCTTCTGGTATCGATGAAGGACATTGAAGTGAAAACTTTAGAATAGTTATGTTCTTTAGAATTATTATTGAAATGAAAACTTCTTTAGAATAGTGATTTGAAACTCGAAGAAACAAAAAGCTACACTAAAAAGAGACAAACATATAAATCTATAGGATTTAGCGTCTCATTCTGTCGAAGTTTAGTTTTCAGGTTTCACTTCTACCGCGTAAGAACTTCACACATCATGTTTTTTTGAATAGGTATTGTCAAGTTTTTAATTTTTTTATTAAATTTGCACCAACCCATTTGCACCAACGGGAGATCAGCGTCAAAGTACTCTGTTAGTAGTACTAAAAAGGTACAAAACTCAGCATGGGTTTGATATGCTGAGTTGGATAATTTTTAGTAACCATTTACCATAATTTAAAATATGCTTTGTGGTAAGCAAATTGCTATAATGTGTTACTAAATAAACTTATTCTTTCTTTCTTATTAACTACTACAGGTCGACAACTTGCGTCTTATATAAGTAAATATGGCAATACATCTGTTCCATATATAGAGGAACATTTTTAATTTGTTTTTGTGTCAAAATCGTTTAACCTTGACATTGTCTTTCCAAATCCCTTAGTTTCGAACTTAATTCTTCGCCAAACGACTCCCTGTATCTGTGACTAATATTGTCTAGAAGGGCGTAAAGTGTTTCATATTTCCTATCTGACGCCACGTTTCTATTATCGCTTGAACTGGACACAACACTGAATCCGGATGCCGACATCTCTACCGTATATACTTCGTCTTCGTATGTGGTTATTTTGAGATAGATTTTCTGGTTGGTGCTTTTCATCTCCGGTGCGACGATCGCTTCTTTCACGTGTTTCCGCACGTCGTTCAATGCAGCCTCTGCTTCCAACGGCCAAGTCTCTTTATCTAAGACTTGCTCAGTCATTGTTCTGAAAAGACGAAACGTAATTCTAAATATTATCCTCCTTATGAGACAATATATTGGAGGCCTCTTAGGAAAGAAACAAAAGAAAGAAATAAAGAAAAAATATTTATATTTGACACACACAGGATTAACGCAGGGTGGATGAAATGGCGACAGGTCACAGCCACAACGTGCGATCCCCGAATGCCAATAAGGCTGAAGGGGAAAATTTACAAATCGACCATCCGACCTGTCGTCATGTATGGAAGTGAATGCTGGGCCGTCAAGAAGAAGGATGAAAATAGATTGCATGCGAATGAAATAAGAATGTTACGATGGATGTGTGGTGTGACAAGGATGGATAAGATAAGGAATGAGTATATAAGAGGAAGCCTGAAAGTAGCGCCAGTGGTAGAAAAGGTGAGAGGAAGCAGATTGGCATGGTTTGGGCATGTGATGCGGAGGGATGAAAGTCATGTCACAAAACGAATATGAATGTGGAGGGACACACGGGCAGAGGAAGGCCGAATAAAAGATGGATCGATTGTGTGAAGAGTGATATGAGAATGAAAGGAGTAAGTATGGAAATGACGGCTGATAGAGAGGAATGAAACAAGAAGATTTACTGCGCCGACCCCAGATAATGGGAAATGGTTTAGAGAATGATGACACACAAGGCATCAGAACACAGAAGTAATGTAAAAACAAAAAAAAATTCAAGAACGAACAACCAATTAAAATTAGGACAAATAAATGATATAGCTGGCCAGGTAGACGTTGTTCTGCCCTTTCCGACGACTTTCGTGTAAAAAATCCTTAAATTTGCAATAAAAAAATTAAGGGTTACTTATCGGGTTAAAAACCACCCTATCTCTCAAGTTGGAAAAACTGCACATAGTGTGCAAAATTTCATTGAAATCAGTTCAATAGTCAAGAGTTCATCGCGGACAAACAATGTGACACGTAATTTTTATATATAAAGATTATCTTAATATATATAAATTACGTGTCACGTTGTTTGTCCGCGATGAACTCCTAAACTACATAACCGATTTTAATAAAATTTGCACACCGTGGGCAGTTTGCTCCAACTTGAAAGATAGAATAGTTTTTTTGCCCATGAGTGACCCACAATTTTTTTTTACGAATTTTAGAATTTTTTGTAGAACATGACAAAGGGTCGTCGAAAAGGGCAGAACAACGTCTGCCTGGCCAGCTAGTATTTTTATATATTCTTAAAAGGTATATATATATATATATATATATATATATATATATATATATATATATATATATATATATATATTCGCGATTAATTTGAATAGTATTCACGGTTTATAATATAATATACATTATGACACAAAATTAAACATAAACCCTTTCAATAAATCGTGAGTAGAGAAAAATGTTATATTTTAACTACTTATTTTAATACTTTTCGGCGACGGGTCGTGTTTTATTTTCCAGTTTTCTCTAGATATTTTACTTTAAGTAATATTAATATGAACAATATCCCAAACTTTTTTATTACAAAAAAATATTTCATGATTCAGATAGTAAAGAAGAAACAATTTATTTTATAATTTAAAATCTTGATCATTAATTTAAAAGCTTTACTACAATCGCACCTGGTGGAAGGATTGATGATACCCTAGATACTGTCTTCTCGTAACATAATCCTATTCACTCTTGCCTTGATGACGCCCAGATTGTCATCGGACGGGAAGACAGGCGCCGGCAGATTATTCCACTCCTTTGCTATACGCATAGCGAAAGACGAAGCAAATGTTTATGGTTCGAATGCGTGGAATATTGTCAACAGAACCTTTTGTTGACAAAAGGGTATTCACCCTTTCCGTCCGTTCGTGCGCTTTGTTGTCCGATGGAAAAGGTAGGGAGAAATTAAGACATGTCATTCATGCCTTCATTCATCATTCATTCGAGCCTGACAAGATTGGTTTTAAATATTATTATAGAACTAACATAAATATCTCTTTTTCTCCAGACTAAAGTTCCTTCAAGATTGGATAGACGACGGACCACCAACAGTATTCTGGATATCAGGATTCTTTTTCACCCAATCTTTCCTCACGGGAGTTCTGCAGAACTATTCTCGGCATAACAAGATACCCATCGACCAGGTGCACTTCGAGTTCACCATCACAGGCATGGAGGCGGAGTGTGATGAGGAGCCCACATTTGGAGTTTACTGCAAGGTATTATTGTATTCAAATTTTCGTCGCTTTCTTTTTGACCTTGGAAAGTATTAAAGGTCAAAGCAGCAGCGTTAAGGATGCGAGACGTCTGGTGCTATATATGTCTAACCGCCTGTCAGGGGTGAGGATTTGTTTGTGGTTTTATAGAATAAGGATGACAAACAAGCACACAGTTCACCTGATGGTTAATGGATGCTATGGCCCATAGAAATTTACATATATCCTATATTACAGCTGGTGAGGTATTACATCTTAGTTCTTCAAGATGACAACGCATGTGTAGTCTTCTTTGATTGCAGTTGCTTACAGGAGTCCAACCTGCAGTATACTTTCTATTTTCATGCAATAATAACTATGTACTCGTACGACAGATTATTTATAATAACAATCACCGAGACGTATGTTCAGGCTGGATGATGATAATTTAAAAATGCCGCTGGCCATACTTTAAGGCAGTCTCTCATAGAAGTTGTGACATTATATTTTTTTTATAATACGGTTAGTGTTCTGTGGTATTACTTCCATTATCCATTCCATTACAGCCTATAAAAGTCCACTGCTGAACATAGGCCTCACCCATAGATTGCCCCATAAGCGGAATTTTGCTATAGTTGGCCCACGTAGCAAGGGGGTTGGCTAACGAAGTTTTTTGTCATTTTGAGTTGTTATCAGAAAGATGCTGCCGGCCATCTCATCCTGTTTCAGTTTCTCTCTGTCGCCTATTGCGACACCCTCGGGACCATTCCTTAATATTATGAGGATTTGTTAAGGGAAGCCAATGATTAGCAGTGGACATACATAAGGTCCGTAATGATGACGATGATGATTAAAGTGATAAACAGTCTGCTTAATGGTATAACGAAGCTTAATCCGCACCCTACGTCGTAAGTGTAGTGAGAGGCCACTACATGCAATAAAATGAGGGTTTCCAGTCCGCTTCAGGTAGAATACTAATCTGGTACGTGAATTATTTAAAGCTGTAGCAAACTGTTTAAAAGGAGGGCGTCTCAATAAATTCTTATAAAAATTAATATTTAAAAAGGGGTTGGAGAAAGGAGAGGGATTTTTTTACCATCCACTTGGTGGCTTAATACAATTAAAAATACCAAGTTCCAGGCTAGATCGCTTTGAGATATCACAGGATAAACAAGTCAATCGGGAAGTGAACACTAACTATGGTGAAAATTAAGTTTCGTGCCGTGATAAAGTTCCTTACTCAACAAAAAGAAACGCCACATACAATTATGGAAGAGATGTCATCTATTTACAGGGACTCTTGCCCTTGAAAAACGATAATTTATAAGTGGCATTAAAGGCAAGTGGCCTTTTCAAGCAAGGCTTGGCTGGCTTGAGTTGAGACTCAATTGAAGACGATCAGCCCTCAGGCCGACCGATTGAGGCAACTTCCTCAGACATTGTCGAAAAAGTGAAAAAACTTGTTCTTGAAGATGTTCGTCTGAAGAAAAAACAGATCGCAAAAATGACTGGAGTAAAATCTAAGACCGTTTTAAACATTCTCCATGGTCATCTTGGCATGTCTAAGGTCAGATGGGTGCCAAGAATGCTCACACCTCTTCAAAAACAGCTGCGTTCGAGTGTTCGCGCGAGTTTTTGGACCTGTGTAGTGGAGAACAGAGACGAAATGATAAACCGAATTTTGACTGATGATGAAACTTGGATTCATCACTATGAACCTGAGTTAAAGCAGAAGTCCGTAGCTCCGTCTAAGAAGTTATAGGTGTTACAATCGACCAGACAATGGCTTCAGTTTCTTGGCATTCAGAGATTTTATTGATCGATTATAAAGACGAAGGTGTCAATATCACGGAACAGTATTACGCTACGCTATTAGAGAAATAAAAAGATGCTATTAAAGAAAAAAGAAGGGGAAAGTGGTTTCGAGGTGTGCTCCTTTTGCACGACAAAGCCGTTCACAATAGTCACGTTGTGATGGCTACCTTACACAAGTGCGGCTTCGAAATTTTAAGCCATCCTTCCTATAGTCTAGGTCAGGCTCCTTCGGATTACTATTTGTTACCAAATATGAAAAAATAGCTTCGGGAAAAGAAAATTACAGATGACAAAGAAGTGAATAAACTTTTTTTTTCGGAGATAAAAATAAAGGTCGCTGCATACGTAACGTGTTTTATCCCGGACGGAGCGGGACGTGAAATTTTGGAAATATCGTTTCATAGAAAACGTACGTGATAATGCATACGTTACGGATGCACGGACGGGACGGGAAAAATATCGTCGGCGACGATGTTTACTCCGTCCCGCCCGGGGCGTGCCACGTCCCGTCCGTGGTTCCGCCGCGTATGCATAGTCGCACCGTTGGCTGTGCAGTGATGCGCGTGTCGTGCCGAACAAAATGGACGACGAAAAACTTATTAAATGTGTATGATCATATCCATATTTGTATAATCTTGCACACCATTTTGGACACAAAATCATTTACTGCAAACGGTTAGTATACATTTATACTAACCGTTTGCAATTTGTTCGTATATATTATTTTTATTTACGTTGTCATATGAAAATACATAAAATTGAGTCTTGCCATCCAAATGTTCTTTATAGAGAGAGATTCACCTCGTAGTCTTCTTTTCTGCCACATAGGATGTACAGAAAATCTCCTTTTACTCTTGATGATTATTCTTCATCATCTAAAGCAATAGCAACTAATGAAAATTCTTCAATAAAAATACATCTTTCACAACACTAGCACGTTAGTTTTGAGTTACTGTCACGGTACGTATGCATTAAACTCCCGTCCGTGTTGACATACAACCACGTTCCGTCTCCGTCCCGTGCACGTGCTAATTCCGTCCTGTATGCAGCGACCTTAATTTGTACAGTTTGAGAGTTATATTAGGATTAAAAAAGATTTTATCAAAAAAGAAATATAATTCTATATTTCTTTTCACCCCTTTTTCTTTCATATATTAGAGACTGGTACCATTGTACCAGTCTCTAAAATATGAACCTGCGACGAAACGACGTCAAAGGTACGAGATGTCTGGTACTTTGGGAACCAATGTTAATATTAGTTTGTTTTTGTATTTTTAATGGAAAATATTTAAGATATTTAAGTATTTGATGTATATGGTGCATGCAGCAAAAGCAAGATATGGATATTCAGGGTCAGGAGGAACAGGGTCACAGTGTGTTTGTTTGGGTGAGTTCATAATATAATGGTTTGGGTTTTTTTTTTTTTTTGTAATTTAATTTTTGTTTTTTTTTTGTTGGTTTTTGGGGTTTTCCTTCTTTTTAGCGCTTTTTTTTCCCATGGTAGAGCCAGCACAGCGGTGGTTCAGTTTTAATGCTTCTTTAGTATGCATAAATAAGCCGAATTATTTTTTGCTTAAAATTTATTTTCGTGTAATAACTTAATACATATTAATAAAATTTTAATGTTTGTCTGTAACGTTTAAATAACTGTATTATATTGAGCTGAAGTGGTTATTTGCATTCCAATAAGATATTTGTTAAATGTTTGTCTGTCTGTCTCCGTCCGAAAATACACGAACAGATGAGGAACAATGCCAGAAGTGATCTAGGTATAAGATTTTGAATTTTATATTGTGAAATGGTATAGTTGATAAAATAAATGGTGATTGACCATATTAATTGACCCCACCCAGGTGAAGCAGGGGCGAGTCGCTGATAAATAAAAAATTACAATTTTATCTATACATATTGTTACGAGCTTGAGGTTCGTGACAATAAAAATTGCCGATAAAATTACCTAAATTAACACTTTAATTTACTTTACACAAATTAAAACTAAAAACACTAATAATTAAACACACTAATTCACTTAATTCCGCTCCGAAGCTTTGCTTGTGTCGCCGAGTTCAACTCTGCCCCGATCGCATCTTGCAGCGCCTATTTATATAATTAGCAAAGAAGCGTCCCGAACATTCAAGTAAATGCGCGCCAGGCAACGAGTATTCGAGTGTAGATTTTCCAGAAACTTAGTTCTTCGGGTGGCGCTGTCGGTCGAAAGATTTGTGATGTCATTTACTGCAAAGCTCCCCTCGCTCTCGTTCCTGACACTAGATGGCGCTAGTTGACTTATTCATGCAACACTGCCACCTCCTAAGAAATGCTCGTCCCGAGCATTATCGGTCCCATAATAACGCGCCAAGCGATCCACATGGACGATCTTAGGAGTCCCTCTTGCGCCTTTCTGTATCCGGTAGGTCACATCGTTGGTCACATTGTTGACAATCCGGTACGGGCCGTCCCATTTAGCTTGAAGCTTAGGTGATTTCCCTTTGCTGCGGACTGGATTGTGCAACCACACTAATGAACCCTCGTTGAACCCTTTATTGTTCATTTTGCGGTCGCACCGGGTTTTCATTTTCTCAGACATTTGCTGGCCCGATTGTCTGACGTGCTCATAAATGTCATTCATTTTGTTCCGCAAGTCATTTGCATAATCGGTTATACTGCGTGGGGCATCAGGTGGTATCCCGGTGATCAGGTCCGCAGGCAGCCGTAATTCTCTTCCAAAGTTTGCGAAAGCTGGTGTCACTGCTGTACTTTCGTGAACAGAACTTCGATATGACAACAAAAACGGTTGTATGTGCTTGTCCCAATCTCGTTGCCGATTGTCTACAACTTTTGCTAGGTACCTCTCCAATGTCTGATTAAATCGTTCCACCATTCCATCAGATTGCGGGTGATAAGAAGTCGTTCTTGTTTTATGAGTACCCATAACTCGGCAAGTTTCCTGGAATATTTGAGACTCAAAATTCCTTCCTTGATCGCTGTGAATCTCTAAAGGTACTCCAAAACGACAGAAGACTTCATGAACTAGTTTATCTGCAACTGTTGAAGCTTCTTGATTTGGAATGGCGAAGACTTCTGGCCACTTAGTGAAGTAATCCATCACAACCATGAAATACTTGTTACCGCTTTCACTCTCCGGAAACGGCCCCGCCACGTCAATGGCTATTCTCTCCCATGGTGCACCCACATTGTACAACTTCAATGCACCTCTACTACGAGTCTGAGGTCCCTTTACAGCCGCACAACTTGTACATTTGCGACACCAGTCCTCGACATCGTTTCGACAGTGGACCCAGTAAAACCGTTCTCGGATCTTCAGTAGAGTTCGTTTAACTCCCAGATGGCCTCCTGAATAATCATTATGGTACAGCTGTAGAACATCCGGTACTTTAGTTTTAGGGACAACCATTTGTAAATGACAGCTGTCTCCCCGAACATTTTCCCATTTACGGCACAGAACTCCCTCCTGAAGCAGCAAGCTGTCCCACTGGGCCCAATAGCTTTTAGTGGTTGAACTCATTGCTGAGACGTCGCTCCACTTAGGCTTGGGAGCACTGGCTTTCATCCATTCCAGGATCGGCTTGATGTCCGGATCTTCCTGCTGTGCACGTTGTAAGCTGTCCTTCCACTCGTTGCTGAGGTGGTCTCCCCTGAGCATCCTCACGGATACCACTTCCTTACTCTCTTGCCTAGTACAATGTTTGCAATCTTCAGGACAAGGTCTTCGTGATAATGCATCTGCGTTGCCATGAGATTTCCCGCTGCGATGTTCGATCTCAAAGTCGTATTCCTGCAGTAGTTCAATCCACCTCGCAACTTGTCCTTCTGGATTTTTAAACTGCAATAGCCATTTTAGTGCAGCATGGTCAGTTCGTAAGTGAAACTTTCGCCCCAGAAGATATTTACTAAAATGCTGCAACGACTTTACCACAGCTAGCAATTCGCGTCTTGTGACACAATAGTTCCTTTCCGGTTTTGACAACGACTTGCTGAAGTACGCTATTACGACCTCTTGGTCACCATTCCGTTGAGACAACACACCGCCAAGTCCTATATCACTTGCGTCTGTGTCAACTATAAATTCTTTGCTTGCATCAGGGTATCCCAAAATAGGTGTTTTGCACAGACGGTCCTTGAGCTCCTGGAATGCGATATTACAACTTTCATCCCAGCAGAAATGTCGCTTCTCCTCGGTTAGCTTATGCAGAGGTTTGGCTATATCTGCAAAGTTCTTCACAAAACGTCGGTAGTAGGAGCACAAACCCAAAAATGCTCTAACCTGCGTCTTGTCTTTTGGAACCGGCCAATCCTTTACAGCTGCGATTTTCTCTGGATCCGTGCGGATACCTTCTTCCGACACTACATACCCCAAAAAGTTGACTTGCCGTTTGAATAGTGAACATTTCTTCGGATTCAACTTGAGGTTGGCACTCTGAATCTTCATGAGCACGCGTTCCAGGTTTTGAAGGTGTTCCTCAAACGTACGGCCCACGATGATGATGTCATCCAAGTAGACCAGACAGGCATCGCCCGGTAAGTACAAGTTCCATCAGCCGCTCAAACGTTGCTGGAGCGTTGCACAACCCAAACGGCATTACTTTAAATTGTCACAGACCCTTTCCCGTCGAGAACGCAGTTTTCTCCTTGTCCTTAGGGTCAATTTCAACTTGCCAGTAGCCACTTTTTAGGTCCAGCGTGCTAAACCACTTTACTCCTGTAAGCATGTCCAGCGTGTCGTCAATTCTTGGCAAGGGATAGCTATCCTTCTTAGTAACGTCGTTCAGACGGCGGTAGTCAACACAAAACCGCAAGCTGCCGTCCTTCTTCTTTACCAGTACCACGGGTGAACACCATGGACTAGATGAAGGTTCAATAACACCATCCTTCACCATTCCCTTAATCATGGTTTCCACTTCCTTTTCACGTGCTACCGGCAATCGTCTTGGCCGCTGACGGATAGGCAACTCTTCACATGTCAGCATCGTTTGATGAGAATACATCGGCGTACTCGAGTAACAACTTCTTCGCCTTGACCAATTCGTTCGGGGACAGAACACTGCGACAGTCTTCCAAAAGTGTGGTCACTCTCGTTTCTGAATCCTTGCTGGGGGTCCCACTCGATATATATTGGCACTGACGTAACCAATCCACTTTCTCACAAGTACCAACCAGTGTGCCTTTTTCTATAATCTGTTCCCGGTCGCAAAGGTTCAGTACACGTACTCCTGAGATGTCAGTGGTCCTGACCAAGGTTCGAGCTACTTTCCATGGAAGGTCATTGTTTACCCTTTCCACAAGTACACAACGGTGAGCTTGCCCAGCGTTTCGAGGAAGACTAACCGGAACAATCGTTTCCGATCTCGGCGGAAGAACAATCTTCTTGATGCTGTACACGTTCCCTGGTAACGCACCTTCCATAAAAAGTTCCTCCTGTCCACATTTCAAAACACCTTGCTTAACGTCGATCTCACAACAATTATTCCTCATAAAGTCTAGGCCTAGGATGCAGGAGTATTCGAGTGTAGATTTTCCAGAAACTTAGTTCTTCGGGTGGCGCTATCGGTCGAAAGATTTGTGATGTCATTTACTGCAAAGCTCCCCTCGCTCTCGTTCCTGACACTAGATGGCTAGTTGACTTATTCATGCAACAATATAATAAAACAGGAACGAAAGAAAAACTGTACATTGAGTATTTTCGAGAAAAAATAAGTGACTTTTGTTAGAAATACATAACTGATGACAAAAAGTGACTTAGAATTTTTATCTGTTTGTCTGTGTGTATGGTACGGCTTCACGCCAAAACTATTGGATAGATTGAATTGAAATTCAGCAAAAATGTTCTTTGTAAACCATGGAAGGATTTAGGCTACGTATTATCACGCCGTATGTTATAGGAGGTAAGCAGTATTGATTTTAAAAGGTTTTTTAAAATAAAAATAAAAATTTAACTTTGGGAACATAATAATCGCGCTATTTTTATAAAGGAGCGGGGCAGTAATATTATAAATTGCAAGGGAACAGCTGTTTAACAATAATTCAACGGGGAATTTAGCGGTAAGGTCAGGCGACCGTTTACCGCATTTAAATGGTGCAAGTTTAAATCCCATAATATTGTTTTGAAAAATCGTAATTTTTGTTTAATTTTTGCACTTTTTATGTGCATTAGGAAATCTGAGAACTTTACATGTCCTATCTAATTGTATGGAGAGTTTCACACCAATATTACTAAACAGATTGATTGGTGGTACAAGTTACACTAACATGAAGTCAAGTCAAACTTTTGGTTCTAAGTTATATCTTACCAAGCACATTTGTTGCAGGTAATTGATTTAAGTATGTAATTCTTAGTTTTGTCCTTGCTGCTGTTCCCATATTTTTTTAATGCAAAAATAATGTACTTGTCTATTAAATTAACAACAATTTAGTTTTAATTCGTAATTTAATTAATTCATTTGGGTAAATAATATGTAGTTTCCGTTTACTAACTAGATGGCGTTGGCGTCGAGTTAGATCGCGCTATGGTTTCGTTCCCAAAAAGTGATGTTATAGGTGCCAATGGGCCGCTCTCATCCTATAGAAACGGGGGTACCTTTGTTGTCTGTGTTGGTTCATGTGTTTAATTTTTCTGCGAATAATAATTATTTTCTACTTACTAGCAATTCTTAAGTACTTATTCGATTACTTTTCATTGTTTTGAATATCGTTAGTATCAGATTAAGAAGGAATTTTAGCTATGCCTTTTAGAAAAATATCAAATCTATCTCGAAACTCAAGGGTTTCTAAGATGCGCAGGTTAGTTAGTAGTAGCAGTAGTTTCTCTCGAACCCACGCAGAGCGTGAACAACGGCTAGGTGCTAACCGTGAGCGTAATGCACTAAGTTTGTCCGCAGAAACTAGCACGCAGCGCCAATTACGACTAGAATTTAAACGAGTCCGCACTACTGCTTCTCGATCTCAGGAAAGTGTGGAACAACGAGAAATGCTTTTCGACGAGCTAGCGACCAGGATCATTATTCTTTGTCTCACGCATCCGAAACGGTTACACAGAGGAATCAGAGGTTGAGTTTTTAGAATATCCGCTCTGAGACTGCTCGATCACTTGAGAGTAGTCAGGATGGTGAGATACAACTTGCGCATGACCGAGAACGTGGGCAAAGCCAATTTTTTTTTAAAGTGATTTGCAATATTATTGTTAATTCAGTGTACCCTTGGGATCCGGTGCATTCCGCACCATATCGGTGCAATATACGGGATGAAAAGTTTTTTGTTGTATAGGTGTTAAGTCTAGGTAACATATAGGCTATAATTTAATTTGGAAAATGGAACACCTGATGCAGAACCGCAACAGACCAGCTAAAATATAAGAGATATAAAAATTGTGTCATAGCAAAAAATATTCCACGTGAAGAGTTTTTTTGCTGTGAGAATAAATTTGAAGATCTGGAACACCTGTTGTGGAACTCCAAAGCCCAGCGACATTATAACATATATAGGAATGACGTCTTAGCAAAAGTTGTTTAGTCTGATGGGCATTTCGTGTTGACTTACAAAAATGAAAGATCTGGAACGTCTCGAATCGTCTCGCACATCATGTTTTCCCGTCCCCGGACTCTTAGAATTCGACATCAGACGTTTTAGGTCTTCGATTTTGACGACCCCGTCGTCGCTGGCATAAGCAACATCATCCGCGTACGAAGTCGCAGGCAGCAGCTAGTACATAATAAATATAAATGTCATGTCGAAAATAATCTCAAAGAATATTTCTTCACTTACACATTACTTTTTACGTATAATATATATATATATATATATATATATATATATATATATATATATACCATATTCAAAACTTTCACCTATGTTTTATATTTCTATATTCACAGGGTCTTTATCTAGAGGGTGCCAGATGGAACCGTCAAACAGGTCAGCTGGACGAGTCCTACCCAAAGATCTTATTTGATACAATCCCTATTATTTGGTTCAAACCGGCATTAATCATCGATTTCAACCCGCCACCCAGCTACTTCTGTCCAATATATAAAACAAGTGAAAGAAAGGGGGTGTTAGCAACAACAGGACATTCCAGTAACTTTGTAATGTATATAACACTGAGATCGGACATACCAGAAAAACATTGGATTAACAGAGGTGTTGCTAGCTTAACGCAACTTGATGATTAAACATTAATAAGCTGATACAGACAAACACAGGAGTATGTACTGTACTTTATTTGTGGGAAGGGTGCCTAGAAAGCTTATATGACTGCTTTTATTGTTTTGTTTCCGAAGGTACCTACCTACCTAATATGAAATGGGCAGATGTTTTATTCTAAAAAATAATTAGCTAATATAAACTTATCAGACCAATGGGAAACCATAAAAAGTGATGCTATTCTGACATTCCTTTAAATATCCATTATTATTAGGAAGGAAGAAAGGAGAATATATCTGAACTAGTCAAATGATTTTAAATCCAAGACAATATTTCGTAAGGTTTAGATTATTAATCGTATATTATAATGTATTCAATTTTAATAATAGTTATCTGAAATATTTATCCATGACAATTTGTTAACTATTTTATTATATTTTTTAAATAAAGATACCATACATCACTATCACTAGTTTAGTTACTTTTAAATAATTTATAAATGACATTGCAATACTCCTTTCAGAGGCAATTGCTGTATATCAAGCCCCTGACAAAAATAGATCTTAAAAATCATAATAATGTCCTCCAGACCGAATTTCGGCCACGGCGGCCTGCCCCAACAGAAGCTAGCAATCGGCGCAGGACAGGATTATAGTGCCCAAGTGTATGCACAAGCACAGGTGCACTCTTTATTCCCTCACTCTCATAATCCGATGAAACAGTAAACCGACACGACCGGAGAGAAATTAGGCGCAGGACCAACGGCTTTACGTGCTTTCCGAGGCACGGGGGTGAGACACCGCCAACTTCCTGACTCCGGGCAGCTACTGAGAATTTCTTAACAGAAAAACTCAATAATTATTTTTTGACCCGATCCGGGATTCGAACCCAGGACCTCACAATCAGCAGTCGCACTACTACAACCACTAGACCAACGAGGCAATCAAAATAAAAAATCATAACCAAACAATGTATGACACATCTATAGTGTCACATGAAAATTTATGTGGAAGATCTGGGCTCAGCGGCGTAGCTATGTTACCAAGGACAAAATCCAGGACAAAAATGAAATTGGGGCCCAATTTAAATTAAACTAAATATTTTAAAGGTGCAAAACTACCTCATCATCAGCTTCTTGTCGCCCACTGCAGGGCATAATAAAGTATTATGTTTAACGCATAAACAATGACGAAGAAGATTACAGTTAATAATATATGCAGGCAACATAACAGTGCAAGATCCACGCGGCAGCTTTTGCTGTCACACGGGTGGGCCAGACTAGATGGAATGACGACCTGATAGTAAATTATTGCCTGGTAATAAACCTGGTAATAAAGAATTAATGTAATGAACGGTGAATATCACAGATAACAAGCGTGAGACAGAAGTTTACTTCGCCTAGTAAGTGCAGGAGGTCGGAGGCTTAATACCCCCCCCCCCCCTTAACATGGTGGTGTAATTAAATAAGAAACTACCTCTGGAGGATACCAGCACCTAAGCTAAGCATCCACGCCCAAGCTACCCTGCTCTTCCTGAGCGTGGGTGCTCAGCCTGCCTTACGAATCGAATATATGATTTCAGTTCGAGCCGTTCGAGGTTAGGGGCCAAAAAGTTAAAACTCGAAAATTCTTTAGACAACTAGGATAGTACATAATTTTTGAACGTCGGTCTTGGAGGTCAAGGGGCCTCTTTAGTTTGGGGGCTACGGAGTACTGCCCCGCCAAATGGATAGCTACGCCACTGTATGAGCTGCAGTTATATTACGGTAGCAGTACGAATGGGTTTGCTCGAGCGAGGAATAAACATGATCTCGCAGAATACCAGAGTAAAATAGCAGCTTAATTATAGTATGTTTCGTATGGTGAGTGTAAGAGAATCTGAAACCAACTTGACTCGTATTGAAGCATTCTACTTTAGTCCTCAGGGATGACAACGCCGTAGATCGGCAGTGCCCCCGCCAAGTCGAGCGCGAAGCAAACACTGCCGTACCATCCTTTACTGGAACCATTTCGCCGCATTTTCAGGCCCCTATTTGAGAACCTCTGGATAATACCAGAACGCAGAAATTTTCGTCATCCAGTAAACTATAATCACATACTTAAAATCCAAAATTTCAAGTCTGTAGGTCATTTAGTTCCGAAGTTAAGCGAAAGCAAAGTTTCGCGCATTTATGACACTCACTCACTCACTCATGATCATCAGAATAGAACTAGTACTTCCCATAAACTCAGAGAGCTGAAATTTGGTACAGAGTTAGGGTTTAATGGCCACAGAAAGGGAAAACTATAAAAACTAGGATAATCGAACATCTGGAGTACCTGGTGACCCTGATTAGAAAACACAAGAGCCCAACCAAACTATTAGAAGAGATGGACATACCACCTTTACAAAAAATATTCAACTTGGTGGGCCGCTTCATTTGATGTCAAAAACCGAAGGTCTAAAGTATCTGATGAAGAACCCTCAGCTGGTCTCAGCTGTATTAGAGATATGGTAATGCCCCCTTCTACCATTGGTACATAAAAATCTACTGTCATTGCAAAAATCCAGCGTAGTGGGACACATCTAATTTAATCTAGCCTATAGCGTCCCACTGCTGGGCGAATGCCTCCCCTTCTGCTCTTAATACGCATATAAATAAAATTAAAGGAAAACTCTGGATAACACTAGATTGGCTTTTATACTTTTTTTTTTTTTTGCGGATGGAAAATCATCTAATGACCCCTCTCGCTCTGGGTGGAGCGTAAGGGAGTGTCAGACTTTTACTGACTAAAAACCATCCGTGTTCCTTCAGTGCCCTTACGTTCCGGAGCCGCGGTATCTCTTTCGAATAGCCCGCAGCCCCGGCAGGCGTCGGCCCTTGCGGGCCCCATCACGCTGCTGACAGCTCTTTGAGGCGCGCGTGGAACAAAACGCGCCGTCGACACGGCCTGTCGTCGTTAGACGGACGGACGACGAGCTACCCATTGCTCGCCGTCCACAGGCCCGCGCCTACGGTGGCCGGGGGCCACGACGTAGCCCCCGACGCCCGGGGCGTCTCCCGCGGCGGCCGGGGAGGAAAGCTGCTGCTCTCTCCTTCTCCCGCTCCGCCACCTCCTTCGCTAGCATCACTGCTTCGCAGAAGGTGGTGACGGCATCCCATTCCGTCTCGCTCCGGACCATGGCTTCGACCAGGGCCGGACGCGAGAGGTCGCCGCCGCCTATCGCCGCTACGAGGACATGGCGGTGCTCCGCCCAAGCAGGGCACACCTCCACGGTGTGTTCCACCGTGTCCTCCGGTCCATCCTCGCAGTGGGAGCACCCGGGCGTTTCCTCCCGCCCGATTCGGTGCAGGAACCTCCCGAACACACCGTGTCCGGTGAGGACCTGAGTCAGGCGGAAGGTGAGGATGCCGTGGCGTCTCTCAAGCCACTCCTCAAAGAGGGGTCTTATCGCCGCTATAGTGGCGTGCCCAGCACGGGGTTGCGACAGTCGCCCTCTCCATGTCGCCATGAGATCGTGCCGGAAGTCTGTCCGCTGCGCGACAACTTGCCGCGGCAGCGGGGTTTCCCCCCCGGCATAGTGCCTCCGCGCGCCATTCGTGCAGGCGTGCGAGGACTACCGCCTCCAGATCCCATGGCGGCAATCCGGCAAGGAGGCTCGCCGCCTCGCGGGAGATCGTGCGGTAGCCGCGAACCATTTTCACGGCGACCACCCTTTGGGGCGCGTTCAGGTGGTGGACGGCAAGCCGCGCCAAACCACGCGCCCACACCGGGGCCCCGTAAAGGGCCATGGATCGCACGATACCCGCGTAGAGCCTCCGGCAGGAGGCGTTTGGCCCCCCCAGGTTCGGCAGGAGTCGCCTGAAGGCAGCCCCGGTCCGTTCCAGTTTGGGAGCCAAACGTCGGAAGTGCTCAACGAAGTTCCATCGGCCGTCGAGGACGAGTCCTAGGTACTTCAGCGTCGACTCGACGCCGATGGATACCCCTCCTACCATTACCGAGGATCCCGGTGGTGGCCTGTTCCGAGGACCATGGAAGTGCATGGCCTCGGACTTGTGCAGAGCCACCTCGAGACCCAGTTGCCGAATCCTCTCAACGACTATCGCAACCCCGCGTGTCATAGTTTCCACCGCCGCCTCGTACGACCCCCCCTTGTGCCAGTACCAGCGTGTCGTCAGCGTAGCAAATTACGCTGACGCCGGTAGGGAGGTCGGCGCGCAGCACCCAGTTATAACCGATGTTCCACAGAGGTGGCCCCAGAACCGTACCCTGTGGGACACCGCACGACATCTCTCGCCGGTTCCACTCACCGTTGCGACCGGGGTAGATGACGGCCCTGTCCGTCAGATAGTCCCCGACTATACGACGGAGATAGGTCGGCACCCGGTGATACCGGAGTGCCTCCCTAATGCAGCTCCAGGGCATGGAGTTGAAGGCGTTGGCGATGTCGAGAGACACCGCCAAGACAACCCCCCTCTGGCCACTGCATCCCCCGTCGTGAGGGCTTTCACGCGCATGATGGCTTCCACCGTAGAGCGCCTCTTGCGGAAACCAAACTGGTGTTCCGCAAGATCCGGCCCCGTCCCCGCAAGGTGCTCGGCGAGGCGGTTTGCAATGACTCTTTCAAAGAGCTTGCCCACCTCGTCGAGCAGCACCACGGGCCGGTATGCGGACGGAGAGTCCGCAGGGCGCCCCGGCTTCCGAATGAGGACCAGCTTCCCCGTCTTCCAACGAAGCGGGAATTGGCCTCTCTCCAAGCATGCGCTTAGGAGCCCCTCCAGTCGGGGCCCGAGAGCCTCCGAGGCCAGGACCCAGGCTTTGCCAGGCAAGCCATCGGGTCCTGGGGCGGTATTCCTGGCCTTGAGCCTACGTACCGCCACTCTCAGGTCTACCCCGGTCCCATCCGGGATGTCGTCGTCGTCGTCCTGGTGGTCCGCTTCCGGCACCGCAGGTGCCGGAGCCATAGGCGGGGGCGGATGTTCCCGTCGCGCAGGGAACAGAGCGCTCACCACGTCCTCCACGAGCTGGGGCCGGAGACTTTGCGTCAG